AAATAACTTCAGTGTCTTGCTGGTAGAAATAAAAAAAAAGTGGTGCTGATACTGGCAGCACCAGTGAGACTGCCAGTGATGTTCAAGGAAAAAGGCTACAACTCTTCCTTCCAGCACAGGCTCCAACTGTTCTACAAGGGGAGCAGGTAATCATTTATGTAAGCAATTTCATAGCATTATATACCATATAGTAGTATTTGTATCTGCATACACTTTGTGTCTTTCCACAGCTTTTAGCCAAAACAAACTGTAAACACTTAACTCAAACCTTAAAATGAAGACAACTATTTCCTGGTCACTAAGCTGCCTTCCTTGATGTACTATTTTATCAACATGCTACCTCTGCAGCTCAGTTTAGAACAGTCAGTGTTAGGTTAATGGTTGGACTAGATGATCTTCAAGGTCTTTTCCAGCCTAGATAATTCTGTGATTCAATCATCAAATATGTAAATTCCTTTATCACCAATTTAGTTAATTCTACTGTATCTTTTAATTACACCATGTGATAAATTTGAAATATTTAATCATTAATTCAGTAAGGACTAAAGTAAGTATAATTAGGAGGGAAGTCACCGCAGCCAGCTTCACTGTGACATCATACATATTGAAAGTTCACTATCAAGCTCTGTATTAATACTCCTAGCAAAGAAGTTTTTTCTCATCTTTCTTCTGAAAAGAAGACTTTTCAAAGCCAGGTTTCTACTCTGGCAAGATTACCTCAAAATCACTGAAGTCTTTGGCAAGGCTTTTAAATGTATGTAGACTTAGTTTTACGTGTACGCTATAGGTTTGATGAAGTATCACCATTGGTAATCCAATGCCAAGATATAAAAGCACCTACCAAATGGAACGCTGCATTTCATTTTCCTTAAATTCTACAGCCTGTTTCTCACTTAGATCTTCCCCCAAATTTAAGCGCTAAAGTTGAAAGGAAGAACAGTGCAAGGAGGTAATAATTTTCTGGGAAGACACATCTTGTTTTTAATATAATTTAGAAAACCGATACATTAACCAACATGTTTTAAACATGCACTCATCATAACAGACTGCAATTTATGTATAATGTTTTCACAGCTTACCCTATCTACTGTGCGCAAGAACTTTTGTATAAAATGGACAAGTGCTGCAAAAAACTGTAAAGACAAGGTACATAGCTGAATATTTAAACAACAGGGCTTTTCAATTACTTTTAAAGAAAATTTAATATGCACTCAACACCCAAGGAAAAAATATCAGCAGTCACTAAGACACCACAGTTTTCTTCACTAGGAATCTATTTTTTCAGTTATCTAGCTAACCACTATTAAAGTCAGTAAGAAGGACCCTTAGAACATGGCAGCAGTTAGCATTAGGTTAACAAGTAGAGAATTGCAGGTTTCTCTAGTGCGAATGATTTTCTGCAACAGACACATTATGCACAGAGGGGTAAACGAAGAGAACTTACTTTCATGTTTTATGCAATTTTTTCAAGTCTATTCAAATAATGTAAGGCTAAAGTGATTCCACCAGTTGCGCTATCTCCCCAGGCCTTTACTTATGACAACAGTTTCTGCCTGCCATCACATCCTTATAGTACCTTCAGAGCAGCAACAATGCTCCGCAAATTTTGTCATGCTGAGAAAAGTAATAGACACCCAAATACAGAGAATTGTGGAGGCATTAATGTTTTACAGAAATTGTTAAATGTCTGAGACTCTCCCCACTACTTACAGTGCTTTTATTTCAATTGTCCTCAGGTGAGTAGAAGTCCCATCTCTCATGCCTGTTATACATCCATCTGGCTGCCGCCCCCTCCTCTCCCTCCCAAATAAATTCAGAACATATAGGGCATGAGGTCAGAAACACAAGAGACCACCACAAAATAGAGAAAGCTGTGGCAGACAGTGAAAACACATGACACTCCTGGTTTGATAATGATTTGCAGTGGTACCAAACACTGGTATTTATAATCCAAAACCAGATGAAGCTACTGGAGATTCCAAAGTACTGCTGACAAAGTTCTTCACAGAGAGTAAGCCACAACGCAAAAAACCCAAACTAAAAAACCCAAGATGTAAATGCAAACCTCAATATAAACCCCTAACCATAGTTTCCTCAGAGCAGAGCACTTAAATTTCCTCATACAAAAGTGTAACATCTTTTACCACTTTCATGAGATACATAGAATGGATCTGGCAAGGTCCAATTATGTAACACAAACCATAGTTCTTCCCTTGTCAGTAACCAGTAATGGTGATAGATACCAAATCTGCCTTACTGGCAGCCTCTCCAGGCTGAGGGAACAGTGGGATGTTTTGCATTCATCTCCACTCTTCCACTGCCACTTCGTCAATGCCAGAGATGAGGAGTGATAAGCAGTTAGTGCTGCATAATAAACTTCAATGGGAAACTGCATAATACATTGTCACAGCGCAGAGTACAGCAACTTCAGAATTTGCATTAGTAAATTAACAGCTGACAAAGGTAGCCTAAAATTTGGTCTTGTCATTCTAAGCATAAATTGTGCTTTATGTCGTCTTCCCGAAGTTCACATGGCGGCAATACCTGTTATGCAGCAGCATGCAAAACTAAGTGTTTCTCTTAATTTTTGGTCTCCTTTATTACTCTTGCAGTAACAAAACAGGACAACTGCACTTGTAGATATAGAGGTTCTGCTCCGGACCTGTTCTCTGCATCTTACAAAGTACGAAACTAAAGTCACTGATGGACAGCTGTACGTGCTAAAATTTTGTTTCACAGCACTCTGAAATGATGTTTCAAGTTTAATTAAGGTAACTAGGATAGCACCATTGCTTCCCACCAAAACACCATTTAATCTTTGTCAAAACTGTGTTTCAAGACAAATTCAGTAACAGCATAATTATTTCAGTGTCATCAGAATGACAACTGTGTGGCACAGAGCCAAGTAGTCCACAGTACTTGAGCTAGTAGAAAAACCTAATAACATTCATGTCTATATATGTGCACAGCCAGATTCATACACTTTCACTAATATTAAGCGTATTTACTCTCAGATGCTTGCTCATAATGCACAGTTCATTGGGATATAATGAAAAATTATTTCACCTGTTCATTTCATCTTGCCAATGGAAGAAGCTAGTTGCTAGAGAACCCTGCACATAACAGACCACCACTCAGTGAGGCATCTACAAATGCTTTCCTTACAAGTGACTTACATACTAAGAAAACATTTTCCAGGTGTGCTTAACATCTTTTATTCTTCAAACCTGTATGGCTTTTATTTCTGTCATTTGGTCCAGGTTACAGTACAGCAGAGAATCTTCAACCAGACCCTTAAACATTGCTGATTTACTTCATCTAACTCAAATTGGCAGGAAAAGTACTTTTACAACTGTAACTTGTGTATGTGTAGTTGAATACTCATTACTACTTTTCTTGGAAAAATAAAATAGACTTTTACCAAGAACCTAAGTCAGAGAGGTGAACAGTAAAATTCTGTATCCATTGAGTATTTGTTTCTACCATTGAAGCCACCTGTTTAGAAACAAGCACAAGACTTGAGATTACATTATTAAAGCTTCTGTACAATTTGCAGGGTTAAAGCTGGCCAGTACATCTGGCTGAGACAAATAGGAAGAATTGTGAGATGCAGTTTTTGAAGTCCACATTAAGTAGTGAATAGAGAACTATAGTGAATTAAAATATTACATGTGAACTTACATCCTGCAGAGCCTAGACTATATAAAATATCTAAGAAATGCAATGTCTTGCAAGGATAAATAGTTCAAGCACACTGGTATTTTAAAATATGAAAATGTGTTACTTTAATATTCTCAATGGCCATATTTTAACCCAAAAGCACTGAGATTTAACAAGAAAGAAAAAATGCATGTGATTTAAGTTAGCCACTTTGACAAACATTCCTACAAGTAGAGAGCAAAAGACAATTCCATTAACAGGCTGCTTAGCAATAGAGAACTGACACATTTTTAAACATTATCAACTTTCTCATTTAATTTATGAAATGACAGCAGAACAAAAGCTGTCACTTTTTTCATTTCGATATAAAGACATGACCCTACACTGTTTAAAAGAAGAGCAGAAAGATCTCATCTGCATCACTACAGTAAAAGCAACTCAGGAGAGTTACACCTTACAGCATGATAGATTGAGGATGTCCAAGACACGTGACCATTGCAAATAGTCACGCAGTTTAAACTCCAGAGTTCCTCAAATCCAACTGACTGACTCCTTTTGTAGTGCTTCACATACTTCTTACTAAGACTGGAACTAGAAGAGAACACTTAGAAATTTTAGCATTAGAATTTAAAAAAAAAAAATTCCACCAAAATGTTATCGCTAAGATAAATGAAAAATGCCATCCCAATATGAACAGGTGTTCTGCTATTCAAATCTTCTGCCTGGTCTTCTAGTTGAGATAAGCCACGAGGAGGAGTAGTAGTAGTAATAGTAGTGAATGCGTCCTCTAGGGCAATTCATGCCTGAGAAACAAACTAACCCAGTCACTAGAAGTACAGAAAGAAAACATCAGCGTTATGCACTGCTTCACAACATTATGTATAATTGCTTCTAGAATTTATTTTCTCTTATAGAATAATGGTAGCTTACTAATTAGCAACTGAGTACTCCTAACAGGCCTGCTAATGGGCTTCTGTAGAAATATCTTTAGAATTTTCTAAATACACTATGTATGTATCTACATGCTAGAACACTACCAAAGTATTTGGAAGAGTTAAGTAGAATAAGTAAACTAGCACTAACATAATGATTCAAGGGGCAAGTCTACCACTCCTACTTGTATTGAGTATTTCCAATGGATCCACACTGGAGTTCTCATTTCATATGCCCTGATGTAGACAACACCAACACAAAAGAGCTTTCCTTCATGTATGAACATATGGCAGAATCCAGCTGTCTACTTCCATAGGAAAAAAAAATAAAAAAATAAAATCAAAATTCATTTTGTCATGTTCACATAAATGCATTTCAGAAACAATAAGGTACTACAATCTCCTTTATTATTTTAAAAACAGTTTTATTCTGTATATTTAGAAACGTGTAATTTTAATAACTGCAGAGAAAAAAAAATCAGCCACACCTTAATAGCTAATAACTCATTAACAGAATGCAGTGGTATATTATCTAAACAGTAGTAGTGCCATTGTGCCGTAATAAATTGTCTATTAGTAAAAAAATACATTTCAGGGCACATAGTACAGCATCCTTATGACAAATTACAGTAGGGATACTTTTCAAGAATTTAATCAAAGTAGAGAATTCCGAGTTATATTCTTTAAATGCAGCACTTAAAAAGGTAACAACTTTGTGCATTTTTAAAAAATGTCCTTGTTTGTATACTGTAGAAATGCTGCTTTATTGCTGCAGATGTCAAAGTTCAAGGCTCAAAAGGTATGAGAATACAAAGATATCCTTAAGAAACTTCGTTTGTTTTTATATATATTTATATATATAAAAAGGTAAAGCTTATAAAAGTTAATTTACAAACCAAGAACAAAAGTGGTATGCACGCATTATATACAAGCGGTCTATAACATCTATAAATTTTCAAATGCATAGCAGAAAACATACCATCATTTTCTTCTGGTTCTCTTCTGGCTGATGAACACAAACAATACTTGTCCCCCTTTTTTTTTTGTTTTTGTTTTTGTTTTTGTTTGTTTTGTTTTGTTTTTCCTCTTTCCCCAGTCTCTCATGATATATTATCTAGGTAAGCACAAAAGCCATACAAACTTAATACAGAGAACTATGAGAGCAAAGACTATTAAAAACATGAGGGTAAGGCATCCCTGCTGGTTAATAGGTCTGGTAATAATGTGGTTAATTTACAAATCCAGAGGCAACTGAACCATAGTCATCCCACATGCTTTTCCCCCTCCCCCCTGTTCTCATGACAATGTTTCCATATACAGCAAGTAGATGTGTTTGCATTAACCTCTCAGCAGAGGAAATCTAAACTGTGCTACCCCGAGAGCTGATTGCCATTTCATTGGACATGTACACCAAAAGTCATTTAAAAACTGGAGACCAAAATGTAGTCTTGCGAGTTACAAACATACAGTTGTAAAAACGCAGGCCAAATTCTGTTTTCACCAATGGAGTTTGAACCAAATTCAGTTCCTCTGAATATAATTCCATTGGTACTTTCAGATTTTAAACAATGAAATACTCTTAGTGTCCTTAAAAAAAAAAGGAAACAAAACAAAACCCCCACAAAAGAACAACCAACAAACCAAAGTATACAGACCCCGCAAAACCCCTACCTTGTTCCCACTGTACACTCCCTACCTGTGGCATGTATTGTGACCATGGTTCAAAGAGTGTACTTGCTAAACCATTGTTAGTTAAAGCAAGATGCTTAAACACTAAGATCCATTATCACTTATAGAACAGTTAATACTTGATAGAGTGGTTCAGTTTATATGTAAGGTCCATCTCAGTTTCACATTATTTACTCAGTCAGCTAACTTAGTATTTAGAAGTGGTCAATTAGGACTGAGACACAGTTTGCTCCAACAAGATAGTTTGGATCCCCAGGAAGAGACTTGTTCTGCCAGGTTTTGGGGTCACCTGTGGGAGGAAAACACAATGCTGGTGTTTAGTATCCGCTGTCAAACAGTGTACATCTTGAAACAACGAAGCTTTTGGACAGGACCTTTTAAGTTCTGAATCTACAAGTGTGTTTGGTGGTGGTTTGTTTTTTTTTTTTTTAAACCTACAGTTTGTATGCCATTAATAAAAAATTAACCCTTTACCTTCATATAATGTAGGATAGATCAGTTAGTCAAAACAGATGCTGTGACACTCAGGAATTGTTAAATTTAAGTCATTCTACTCTACAGCACCAACATAGTGCTTTCCATTTGAGAAGTGTTAACAGTGAATCAGGTATTCACTGGCTCTTTCCTAAACTGCCTGAAAAAATAAGACATTTTAAAAACTAATCTGGGTAGGATGCATTTGAAGTTTCCTGGAACACTTCTGAACACAGATGAGTCAAATCAGAAATTATGTTGTAATTAAACACTATGACACACTGGTAGTTTTATTTTCTATCATGAAAATTAGTGTAGACAGGATTGTAGTAATTTTGCAGCTGCACCTTGTTTAAAATCCTGAAATACTGACATTCCGAAGGGGATTCTAGTTAACTGGTATATACTTTAAAAAATCTTTACAATAGATCTTATCTACTCATGGTCAAAGGTCCTGTGTAACATTCTGTTACAAAGGGAAAGTCATCAGCTGCCATCTCACCAGATAAAGGTTACATTCCACCTGCACAGTCAATTGCCTCTTTCAAATGGACAGAGAACTCTTCACTTATCCACCCAAAGCCACTACCAAAATGCTGACACTAAACAAAAAGTGTCATCATGCCATTATGGTAGAACAGTGAAAAATGCACTGAGGTTCTCTTGAACCCTCCAGGTAAATGTCATTAAATAGCTTGGCCAAAACAGATCTCCCTTGAGAAATATGCAACACATTAGAGAACTCAGTCACACAGACTGCAAACACCTGAGACCTCTATATTAAACGAGACAGATGTAAATTCCACATAATTTTCTTTCAGAACTCATGAAAACAAAATGAGGTACACAATGCACTGACTGATGGCAACATCTGATGTAGGGACAAAGAATACAAGCAGCCTGTGTATAGTTAGAGAATGCAAGAAAGTTTGCTGCAACAGCCAAGACTCTTATTTCAGTCAGGAAGCTCAATAATGCTGGAGGATTTTTCATTTTATGGCAGACTTTTTTCCAACCTTTCCTCCTAGATACACAGTAAGGATTAGACTGTAGCCAGTGCAACCTCTAGCTGTTGAGGATGGTTTTTCCCATACTTAGATACAACTGCTTTGGGAAAAAAGAAAAAAATCCTTCAGTATTTTTTTACTAATACATTCTAAATAGGTGTGGCCATAAAACGTAACTTTTTTGCCCAGTTTTAACACCAGAATAATTCAAGCTTCTGAAGAGGTTTAACAGTAAAATATCAATATATGAGGCTTAAACGTGGCAGAAAGGATGTTAGTAAGTGCAAATGAATGTCACTTTTAGGACAGAACATGGATACATTGAGGAAAGATGAGGTAGAGCAGACGACTGAAGAGAGAAAAAACCCAGAACTGCATAAACTGTTACAAAGCCACCTCAAAAATCAGAGTCCCATAACCAACTAATTTAGAAAGAGAGAAAACAATTATTTATTTAAGACACAGTATGGTCTACTTACATATCATAAGACAGAATTGCCTAATTTTAAGGTTTGTCTCAAAAGAGCAATGATATGATATACATCCCATTTCAGATTAACAGAATGTGGTGTTATATTTACAGTACAGAAAGTGTTAGGGTTTAAATATACACGCTCTTGCTCTCACCCACACATGCGCGCACACACACACATCCCACTTTGGGAAGGGAGACAAATGTCTCAGTAACTTCAGTTATTGTTTAGATCATTTGAGTCCTCTCCCTTCACTTCAAGTAAATTCATGAACAGGTGCTATCAGTTACAAAGGAAGTGTTGTGTCATTTTTGTACATAGTTGTCATGTCTTTTGGGACCCTATAATTTATGAGTCCGTGTTTTAACACTGCCAAGTATACACGCATTGTTAAATAGATGCATGCAACACATGCATATAATAGCTTAGAAAAAACAACTAAAAATTATTGCCATTAATACCTCTAGGTTACTGAATCCCCATCAAGGGGATTGGATGCTTTAATCTTTCAAAGCATCAGTGCTTTGGTGTTGACAGTGATAGATACATTAGTGACAGAAGATATGCATACATGGTGGCTTAAATGCTGTATACACAAATACATTTAGTCATTACTTAGACCACACGTACACATTAACGGTTTGAACCTGCCACCATAAATTTTGAAGGTAGCTGAATAAAACCTTAAGACTTTTTCCCCAGATGTGCAAACATTCCTTCTCAAATCTCTGTAACTTCACAGCCATTTCATGAAATTGCTTGAAACTTGCCCAGAATTCTCAGTTAGGCTCCTCACTGACAAATTTCAGCCAATACATTCTCCCCCCTCATCCAAGAAAGCCACAGTGAGGTAAAAAATAAACAGGTAAATAAAATTGCAACCTAGTTGCAACTTTTACTAGTAACCAGAAACTTCTGGGTAAAAGGCAGTAGAGGAGAAATAGGCAGAAGCAAGCAAGAAAAGTCTCGTGGAAAATCCAGCTACATTAGAATGAGTTGTAAATGCTTTTACTGAACACTATAGTTTTCTTAAATGACCCAATTGTTAGCATCAACTTGCACACATGGAAACAGTTAACAAGCGTTAAATCATGATTTATGAGCATGCAGATTGTTAAGATTTGCCAGAGTCCTATATGGTTAATTAAGCAACAGACAAACACCAGTTATGTTACAAAGGCCAATCAGAGGTACATAATCATTTCCTCTCAATTTTAGTGCGACTATCATTTCAAGTGTATTCAGCTGTAGCAGTCCTCAAGAAAGAAGACAGAATAGAAAAATACGATAATATTTATTAGACTAGAGATATTACTCTTTCTGCTATCATGGTTTAGCTATGAATTTGCACCATGAGTAAATGTAAGAAAGACATTTGTAATGAAAGTGAAATGGGAGAGTTTGACACAAATACAATGATTGAGTTCTTTATATTACACAGCATCACCTTTAGCCAAATTAACTTAAATTATACGATAGCACCCAAAAGCCCCAAAAGGACAGAGGGAGGACAGCATACCCGACGAGGAGTCGGAGGATTTTAGAGCAAAAGACCAACCATCAGGGGTCATAGACGCACAATGTGGCAGGCGCAGCTCCACTGGCTTCAGGAATTTTAGTCCATGAGGCCCACACATTACCAAGGGGCTAAGAAGTGTTTCACCTATAGGGAAATAAAAACTTGTTACCGATTCTTCTTGAAATAGGTTCAAACTATTACATAATTACATTGCAGAGCTACTCAGCAACTTAGGTTTAGAGAACAATATGAACATTTTGATCTGTCAGTGAAGAATAGCACTTAGCAAAATTGTTTCTTACAGTCCCTTTCAGAGAGACACATGACAATCTCAGACTGAAAAAGGATAAACAAATGTGATGATTAAATCATGTGGGGATTTTTTTTTTTTTTTGCCACTGATTTCTATGCAGGTGCATCAAAAGAAACAAATTCGCAAATCCGTAAGCAGCCTTGTTCAGGCTTCTCTTTGCACTACAGCTGCAGCATTCTGCTTGTATGGATTTATGGCATGCTGGGCTGACAAAAGCCTTCAGCAGCTCAAGAGACTATGACCCTTTTTGCTAAGTCAAAAGATAAAGCATACAAACATACAGGTCTATTTTTAGTTTAAAATTCCAAATGTTAACATAAGATTATTCAGTTGAACATGTTGTGTTTGGTTTACAAATATTCGAAATAACTGCAGCTTGTAAGCAATGCTTTAGCCAGAAACTTATGAAATTAACCCATTTAGTTTATTGATTTGAGAAACTTAGGAACTCTGACAGATCAGAATATGCATGTGACTAGTGATATGAAAGAAAATTACTATGAATACACTGCTCAAATAAGATATACTACTCAAACCTTTATTAGTAAGACAGTCAGGAACATTTATTTATATAGAAGTTAGAATACTTTAAACTGTGAAGCTGTTTTCTTTAGAGAAATATAAAAAAAATGTGGAGTATTGAAGTAAATCCCAAATATTTAACGCAAGTCAAATCAGTTTAAATCATGTACTGTAATTCTTTTGGTTCTAACTGTGCGATTAAGAAATATTTCTAGTAGGAATGCCTAGAATAAAGCCCTACACTTTGTGAGCGAATCTACAATTTCAAAGATTCTTAAAAAAAAATTTAGAACCTTCCTTTAGTGCACTAGGTAAGTTTTAAATCAGTACTTAGGTCTAACAAATTAAATATTCTCGTTACAATTTAGGGCCTTCATCTTGCTTGCAACTTTCAATATTAAGCAGAATATTGCTTCCCTTATACTTCTTGAGACGTGTATGCTCTGTCTTCATACAGAAATACACATTACATATTGAAGCACATTAAGGTATTTTCATATTCTATTTTGCTGTTGTTAGAAAAGAATTGTATTAAAAACAGAACAGTGTACAGTGCCAGCTCTTACCTTTCTCTTTGTCCAAAGGTGGAAGTATACTGTTGTCTCTGCAGACTTTGAAATATATTTCTTGCTCTATTCCCTCTGGAATGGCTCCTTGTGGTATAATAATACTAACACCAGTCTCTATGGAGCTCAGTACACCACCATTGCTGTTAAATACACCTCTTGCGGTGGCTACAACAGTGTGTCCATCTTCTTCTTCCTCATCCTCGAGTGCTGAAGGGCTGAAAGAAAGACAGAAAAGCCTAGCAGTTTTATCAATATTTTCTTCCTAAAAGTAAGTGGCATACTTTCCTCTAACATTTTAGTAGAGCACAGCCTACAGTAGACTAGCACTGATTCTAGAAAAATATTAAATGTGTCCCACACTCAATTATGCAGGATAACTAAGACGGAAATGGTTCAAAGCTCTGCCTTGAGAAGAGAACATTTTGAAAAAAACCAACCCCACATTAAAGCCTGCAAACCCTAAAAATGTTCAGAAAGTAGTTAAAGCAAGAATTTGGACCACTTGAATCCTGTGTTTTCAAATGCCCGCTTCTGGGATTATGCAGAAAGAGCTTGCCCCAGCTACATAATTACATTTAGTTTTACTAAACTGAATTAACACATCTGAAAGTTTTTTTTTCCTCGCCAAGCTCCACTATGACTTTAATACCACGAGGAGTAATAATACTTATTCAGGCCACACTGAACCCTTCTATTCAGATAAACATTCAAAAAAAAGCCTGTAAAAAACACCATAAAATCTTTTCCAGGTTTCCAGGATATAACTGAAGAGAAACATAAAATTAAAACATGACTAGTTTGTGTAGGTTTCAGATCAATTTCTAAAGAATTTCACTCAAAGAACCAGTAACTTCAAAATTTCCAGCCATCTACATAACTACAGAGCATCAAAAAATTTCTCAGGTGCTTAAGAACAAATTTTCTCTTAGAACATTCTTCTATTACATTTCTGAGTTACTGAAACACTAAGTAAGATTTCAAGTCTGGTTCATGTATTTTTATTTTGAAATTAAAAAAAAAAAAATATTAAAACACTGTTCCGCAAGCATTAGCAAAAATAATTTAACAAGTCAGCAAATAGCAAAAGAATGTAGTACTATCTGTTGCTCTTGACATAGTTCTTACAGTTAAAGCATATTAGGCAGACACAAGCCGCTTTTAAGCGATTATTGTTTTGTCTCATAAAGAGAACAATGTGAAACTGCTAAAGTGACTTCCTGCTTTCACAGTATTTTCAAAATATCTCTTACGCACAGGTACCATGCAGTTGGTCTACGCCCACAGAATGAATACAGTTTAGTTAGCGCAACAGCTATCCTTAGAAATTAATTCCATCTTCTAGAAATATGTTGAGATGACAAATTATTACTACCTACCAGAAGATTTATAATTATAGTATGAGAAATGGGAAATAAAAGCCATGCTACTTTCTAACAGGATGCAAGATGATACAGGGCCATAGGATATAATTTAAGTATATATCCAAATGCTTTTCAATGCCCTTTGGCAGAATTTTAGAATCACAGTATCCACCTTCCAGCTATAACATCAACAGAAGTCAGAAGCACAACAAAAACATTTTAAAAAAAGAAAAAGCTGTATTTTTGACAGGTTTCACAGATGAACTCTTACAGATGTACTAATGAAAAGAAAAAAGCAGCAGCTTACCTTACAGGAATGGCTTTAGGCACAGCATTAACATTATTTGGTTGATATTTAGGCTTGTCGACCTGTACAGTGAAGGTATCCATACCACTATCAAACTCAGGAGGCTGTGATGAGCTGTGTGCTTTCAAAATTGGTTGAGGAGAATTTGGAGATTTCGATGGCAACTCTGGTTTATGTTGAACTTCATTTGGCAAGAGATTATGGTTGAATTTAGGACTTTCAAACTTGCGTTCAAAGGGCCTTGCAGCACTGGTGTAAGGTTTTGTTGTAAAGCGGTTGTAAGATGGAGTGACAGTTTTCTGAATCTGTTCAGTTCCATTAACAGGGCCTTTGTCAGGGAAACTTTTCTGAGGATAAAAAGTAGACTGCACAGTGTCCTCTCTAGAGGATCTGAAAATTGCTGGCTTATTCTGAGGTGGAGGAGGGTCAGACACAGAGTTAACTGCAACGCAAATAAAAATGCCAGAACTCCTCAGTAATCAGAAATTTCTAGTCGCATACAGTATGGCATAAGAATACGTTTAAGTCTATTCTTAATCTACTATATAAAATACATGCAAGGTTAAGCTTAGTTCTCTGAAATCATCTGTCCTCATATTTTGTGTGTTCAAGTTATCTAATGCTTCATTACACAGATACACTAGATACAATGGTATGACCTTTTAATAAAAAGGTCAGACTGATTTATACCATGACAAAAAAAGAAACCCGGTATTGAAATACTATCATGCACTTGCACAGCTGGAAAATTCAGTTGGACTGGGGAATACTCTCAATGTGAAAGTGAAAACAACCTTTTTCACTCTTTTTAGAAGCCTCCAACTATTACCCATGCCTAAATAATTCCAGCCTGAAGCACAGAGAGGTACGTTGTAAGTACTGGGAATTTTACTTCATCTTTGCTTAGACCACTAAATATGGAAGAGTCAATTAAATAGTAACTATTAACACCTGGAAGTTACTGTTTCAGACAGGATCACCAAATAATTTTACAAAACTCAATCTTGCTTTAGTAAAAAGCTACTTTTGTAAATAATTATTCTAAGTTTCAGTTAGAGAACAACGTAGTTACCAGTGTAGACGTGCTGAAGCAACCACACAAGCACCTGACTATCAATGCTTGTTACTACATGAGATAGCTTAGCTTTCCAACTGCTCACCTTCAGAAAGAGCAGGCTTGTGATGTACTGGGAGAGACAGAACAGGACTATTGATTGACTGAGGTTGTGTATACTGGACTGAAGGAGCAGGAGGAGGAGGAGTTGTAACTTGAGGGACTGGCTCATAGCGTTTTTCACCAACAGGCCTATCCACTGATTCAGTATCAGTTGGCTTCCCCCTGTTGAAATAAAAGAAAAAAAACAACATTTGACTGGTTGGTTTCCTCAGGGCTCTGGGCTTGTGCATTCACTGCTATTTTTTTTCTTCTATGATCACCTGATTTCCACCTCTTCCTATAAACATTAAAACACAATTTTCTTTAATATCCTGTCTCAAGTATAAAAACATTTATTGATAAGCACAAAATATTAAGACAACATTGAAACTTTAGAAGAATATTAGTAACACAAACCATGGCAAACAAAAGGCAGATGACATTTCAGGTGTATTTGCATAATTGTCTATAAGATCTTAATTTTCCAGATTCACTTGGGGTAATTTCAATGAAAAGGTGTTGTCTAATTTAGTAGATCTTCAAAATAAAAATATAAATCCACTTTTTTTGGGGGGTGGGTTGTTTTTGAAAAGCATAATTAACCAATAGGACAATGGATTCTAATACAACTTTTCTAAATACACCTAGTATTTGAACAATGCCATCTTAATTAGAAATGTAATCAGCTTAAGCTTCACTAGCTTTATGTGCATAGCATAGATAATTAGAAAAAATAATCTTATTTTTCAGTATGTTTTTCTTATACTAAATATATTTCTCCAAAAGTTTATTTTGGGAAATGAATGACTTCACAAATACCTGTAATTTTGGACTACAATACATTGCACTTACTCAGAATTTATGTGTTTAAAATTTTAAGTGCACATAATGCCTGTGATGAAATGTAACAGTGAGAGGACACCTGAAAACATCCTCACATCAACAACAGTCTTACCACTTGATGTTCCTTTTCAAGTAGTCAGAGCTAGTGTAAGAGCCAAGAAATCTAGGTGATGGCAAAGCAAACAGCAATAGAAGAATGAAAGAAAATAGTCATTCTATCTTGAGCATATTATTTCGTCACACTTTTTATGTTAGTCCTAGAAGTTCTCATATGACAAGGTTGTTCAAACAAAGAGACACTATTTTTAACAGTGAAGTTTCTGATAAAACCTTTACCATAAATGTATGTACAATGATCACCTACATTTGAGATTTTGTCAGTGAATTAGGAAGTGTTAAGATCTCAAATTGGCAGATATTGAAAGTAAGAATGAGATTACACCAAGTCATTTGTTACAGTCTGTATAAACAAAGTTATTAATTACACTAAAAAAAGTGAACAGAATATAAATCCCATATTCTAGCAATCTTCTCACTTATGGTCCAATTTGCATTAATTTCGCCAGTCTTAACATATTCCTTCATCCCTTCACTTTCTGTATGCTCATAAAAATGTAACAGGCAACCATTTTAGACACCAGCATTATTGCTTCAGAGGAATATGTTATGAAACTAAGGAAAGGGCTGATCAGCTTCTGAAAGTCTGCTTGCAATGAAGGTACACTCAGTGAGCTAAACTGCATCTGTATGAATTTATCCCCAAAATCAGTGTTGCAAAAAGATCATTTTAGACCTGCTATATAAGTTTCTGTTCCCACTGATTTAATATAATATAAAGCCATTTGTCCAACATGAGAAGTTATTACTGCGCGCTCACTCACTGCTGTCTTTATTCCAGGTGAGTAGTAGCTGCTTTCTCAGAAAAATTGCCCATCTGAAATCATTGCTTCCCAGAGAGGATATTAACCAGGGGAGGGCAGCACTGCAAAAGCCCACAGAAAAAAACCAACACACTCCACACCTAGTCAGAACAGCTTCCCATCTTTCTGGGGAATTAAAAAAAAGGGGGAAGGTTAGTACATTCTGATGGAGGGAGCAGAAGAGAAGAGCGATCTGTGATAAACACAAACACAATCAGCATAAAATTGTGCTTAATATGAAGCACATTCTGCTGTCCTAGGCTCCTGACTCAGGATCAGCCAATCTCAACCACATTGTTCGGAACCTGGATACAATGAAAGCGATCCACAACAAAATGCTTGCTTACAACTTGTGAGTGTATAAATAAAGGTCCTCTAATAATTGATTTACTGTTTTCTAAGCTGTTTCCCACTTCCTTTTTGTTACAAACTCACTACTTGAATTTGAAACAAAGCAGAAATGAACCACTAGAAAGAACTAGTGGGCAACAGATGATAAGCCTTGGTGTACAACAGAAAACTTGAACTGCACTGCTCATCTTCAGTTCCCATTCAAAAAGCTCCAACTCTGTAGCAGACACTAAGTGCTCACCTAGAGCAGTTCAAGAAGTTTACACAGGACACTGTTCCTTCCTGCCTCCTCAGATACAGCTGCAACTGATCATGTGAGTACTCTTAACCTACTCAATACAAAATTTAGATAAGCTACCTCATTCTGCTGCATGTCAAGCTAATGCAGGTAACTACATTGAACCAAGCAGGAATATATCCACTCCTCTCAGCCACAGGAGTAGGAGCCTCGTAAATTGCTCCAGCTAAATCTACTGAAACATGCCTGTTTACAAGTTGCACTATTTTCTCACATCAAAAGAAATCCCTTATTCTACAGTTACTGACAACTGTAACATGCAGATGTGGCATTACCCATACAAAGCAGCTTTAGCAATGGCATAAATTCCTAAATGTGGCAAATAAAACCTCAAATTAAGAGTAAATCAATTTGTACACACGTTAAGAGGAACAAGACATATTGTCATAATATTTAGCGGCAAAGAACTTTACGTAGTTTAACATTAATATTTAAAATTGAAAGAGTTGTAGCTAGTGCTCATGAATAAATAAAACCTGTCCTCTGTACCCAGAATACATTATATGGATTATGCAGGAGCCAGAGATTGCATAATCAACAGTTCCTGTATCATCCAAATTTAGTCCTGATTATTTTTAGAAAAGTTTATTCACAGAATAGCAATTACCATATAAATTCACTAGAAAAAAGATGAATAATGAGCAAGTAGCAGGATACGAACTGAAAGCTGGTAAAAGGAGAGTCCTGATTATGAATGCTTTCTCAAGACAGCAATTGTTTTGTGTTTCCATGTAAGGACACTGCAGTATGCTTCTAGAGGCAGTACTGTCCAACTGAGTATGGTTCTTGTTTATCTCTTTCCAGTTACTTCCATTAATATTTTAGTTTTTGTCTATTTGAACTGGACTACACTGGGTAAATTTTCTTTCCCATGTCTGTCTCTTGCTGCTAAGGGTTACATTCTTTCATAAAGAAAAACAACACATTTTTGCCCCTTGACATGTGAAACTATCAGCCATAAAAACAGTATTATTGCTCTGTGGCAGTACAATGTCACCTTCCCACAAGTACAAGCCCTGTTGCTGTACACTAACTCACAGTCAAAACAAAACCAGAAATGAGCAGCCAAAGAATGGAAGTGTCATGGCAGACAGAAGCGGTAGGTAGAAGTATGGAACAATCTTTCTTCACTATTTAGCCACTCGGCAGTAAAACTTCAATAGTTGTGGGTACTTTTCAGGTTTTTCAGTGTGTGTGACTACACTGCAGATAATGAACGTACAACAAAAGCTTACAATGCTCTCCATCTGAAAAAATTTACAGTCTTCACAATTACTTGATGAAAGCTTACAACGTTTCTCCAAAAGCATTACCTGCATTTACAATGGCAACACAGTCCATGCCTACAGATCAAAATGGATGATCTATGGGTAACATTGGTTTTCATATGTGGGAATATAATTCTGAAAGCTACTGCAATGCATTATGAGGCCAGCCAAGACTTTTTTTGTAGGTCTCTTCCTATGATGCCCAGAGAGCAGGACAGATATGCTCCCATCATTCCATCAGAAGACATGGCAAGTGAAAAGGAAGGATAAGAACATCCTTGACTAAGAATCAGAACTGGTTACAGATTACTATACATATTCTTTCCGTAGCATATAAAAAATTAAAATAAGAAGTAGTTACTGTATGTAGACTTCTTGATTAGGAAAAAAGTAGTGAATCTTTTAAAACCTGTCAGGCTTTTGGAAAGATTCCAATATTCTCAGTTCACAGTGGAAGACATTGGAGGTGACAAGACAATATTATACAACTAAGAAGTTCCCGAGTCCTAGCTCAAATCCTCCAAGACAAAGCACTGTATCAAGTACATGAAAGACAGCTTGCACATACACTTAACACTATAAAATTTCAGCAAGCTAGTTTAGTATTTTATTCTAAATATCTCATTTACATTAAGGTTGCCAGATTTTCAGCTTCAGCTGAATAGTCTAGATTTCACACAGGAATGCAACCAAACCCTTCAAAAATGCCCCATTTCCAACCTGCATGCAGCAAGCCAAGATAGCTTTTCATAGCAACAGCTACAGACACATTGTTATGTTTTGAATCAAAGCAAATTTGGGACATTTAGGTAACTGTATTTTAGGTTTTTGAGAAGTTTAGGTAACTATTTGCAAAGTTTGCATAAGTATCCTCCAAGATAGCCAATTCTTTACCTAAGCTGAATCTGTGTATGAGCTTTCACACAATTTCTGTATCAAAATGTTCCAAATTAAGGAAGCAGTACAATACAGGAAACAGATGTTTCCATCAACAGATTAAATTCTGGCCTCAGCAATATTCCCTAAAGGCTCAGTTTCCTAATGTTGAACATGGCTAACATGTACAAGCCTGTCTGCAGAATAAATGTAAGCAAAACAGGAATAAACCAAAACCTTTGCTTTGAAAGATGTTCAAGCACTCAGTATTAGTTAGACCAAGGAAATACTTTGTTATGTTCTGTTAGTAAGTGGTAAGCAAAAGTAGTAACATGAAGGTCCTGAAACCTACAAAACCAAGATTAATTTACCAAAATAAAGAGTTATGCAGTTATGTGTTTTCAAAATAAAGTTACATCTAAACAGAGAAACTGACTTCGTGAATATAAAATAATTAATTAGATACCATGAACCCCCGGAATTCCATTGACAGAGGCAGAATTTCTGTTTTAGTCCTATATGCCTCCCTCCTTTTTCAAATTAAGAAAACAAATCCCTCAAACTTACTTCGAATAATTGGTGAAATTCAGCTGATTCTGCGAATGTATTGGTTTAGCAGGCTCAGAATGATGGCTGGCAGGAACCTGGGCAGATGGCTTATTTTCAAAACTCCTGCGATCAAAGTACGAGAGCTGCTTCCGATAATACTCTTCATCTTCTTCGGGATCATAATGATTTGAACGCACAATATCTTCAGGTGGCTTCACTTGAGGTCTCTGAGGTTCTGGGGCCCTAATGAAGAATAATAACATACAGTTGCCTTGTGCAGTTCAACAAGCATAAGTACAGAAATTAAAATTCTATTTTATAATCTAGCCAGTAATAACCAACTAGAATATAATTCTTATAACTGCACACCTTATTAACCTATAGTGCATGGAAAATGGATAGCTGTGACATAACAAGGAAAGAAAATCCTTATTTCCCTTTTACCTTACCTTTTCCTTTTTGTTTTACTTTCCAACTATAATAATTGAACATAGAAAAAGAGTAAGATGGAGATATTGGCTAAGTTCTTCTGTGAAAAAACATAGCATGTCCTACCCCCACTTCCCAACAATCATGTCCGTGAGAACTATGCTCTGCCCTGCTATTGACACAGAAATCATACTGAACACTCCAACACTCCACAGTTTTCAGTTCAAACCACTAACATGTGTTTTCTGAATATACTAATTTCACATTGAAAACTACATTTAATTAATCAGTTTCACATCTACCTGTAAGTCGTTTTGTCATGTTCATACTGGCTTTGAGAAGTTGGTTTTGGACCACTCGCAGTTGTGAGTATAGGTTTAGGTGCTAGTTCTGGAGGCTGAAAAAGAAAAGCACAGCATATTCTCTTACATTCTAACATATAGAAAGATACAGCACTTTATGAGTACGAAAGTAAGACTGCCCACCCTTCCCCCAAAAGGAAAACCAGAATGAAATACTAGTGAAAGATGAAGAGTTTTCAGCATAGCAAGATCCCCTTCACTGTTTCCACAAAAGTTTTCAGCTTCTGCTTTTAAAACATACTGCAGTTAGGTTGCTAACAGGCCATTCCACAAGCAGTAAACCTTTCTTTCCAAGACAGTATTTCACTTCTTGCAGTGTAGCTTCATTAGCAAAAAACAGGCATGATAAGACTTAAATGACTTACCTTGACAGCTGACGTATCACTTGGGTCCTTCATTTTTTCCAAAGATGGTGATCTTCTTCTTTCAAATATCTTAACCCTACTTCGCACTGACTGTGGTTTCATGGCTGGATCTTCTTCTTCCTCTGCTAGAGATGGTGGTGTAGGCAGTGGCTTACTGTTTGAAGGCAAAACTTCTGGTTTGGTTTGTGATGAAGGAGGAGGAGGAAGAGAAACACCTGAAGTGCTATGAGAAGGCTCATACTGTCCAGGTTTAGCATTATAAGCTTGAGGACCACCTTGTTCATAGCTCCTTATATGTGGATCAAAGTACTGCTTCGGTTCAGGAGATCGAGATATGGCTGACTGGTATGGCTGAGCTTCTTGTTTGTATCTACCGTGCGTGTCATATCCTACAGTATGTTGATCTTCATATCGCACTTGTGGTAAGCTGAAGTTTTTGGGTGCGTGCTCATAGCGAGGTCTGCCATCATAGCTCATTGGAGGGGGTTCCTCAAAACGAGGTTGTGCTGGATAATAGCTGCGTTCTGTGCTCTCTTCTATATTTTGTCTGGAATCAAGATCCCTAGGAGGCTGGTTTTCATAAGCTGTTCTTGTTTGGTTGTAGGGCTGTTTTTCATCATAATATGCCCAGTGCTCCTCATAGGGAGGCACACGGTCATCATAATGTAAGCGAGGGTCATAACCACGAGAAAATTGATCTACATAGTTTGTGGAATCATACCTATATGTTGACTGTTCATAGTCCCTACTCGGTTGTTTTTCTGCATACTGAGCCTGGGATTCATAGATCAGATTTGGATCCCTTTCCTGTCTCTGTACTGGGTGATTAATTGCTGTCTGTTTTAAGATGTAGCTTTGTCTGGATGCTTCTTCATTAATATATGGATCCTTTCGGTATACCTATTAAAGAGAGAGGCATACTTTTCAGTTAACATGAAGAGTAACTGCAGCTGCATTTGAAATGTAGTATTTTAAACAAACCTAAGTTCTAAATATTAGCTCTAATTTTCTTTAAAAGTGGGATAATTTGATGCACTTTTTCGCAACCACAGGAAGCTGAATTTGGTGATTCAAGAGATCCCTTCCAGTCCTATATTTAAGCAAAGACACGTAAGTAGATTAAAGGAAAAGACACAGATATCAGTCCCATCTTTCGGGGAGGCACACATACTTTTTTGCAGGGAGTGGGAAGAGTGGAAGTAAATTAATTTACATGTTTAAGTTAGTTCTAGCATTTCTGAGGAAGTACATAAAGTCACCCAACAAACTGAATTCATCTTCATGATCAAGGATTTGGCATGATTTCAAGCATAAAGAGATCTAATGTCATTTTAGGGAAATAACAGTTTTTCTTCAAGGCCACATTAATAAACAGGAGAACACTGACAAGCTAAAAAAAGTCACACGCAAAGTAAAATCAAAATACAGAATGCAACCTTTTTAAAAAATGTCATCTTTTTGAGAAGTGAAAAGTATATAGTTTGAAGCCATGCACACAAAACATTAGATAATGCTTAGCAGTTCAGATGCACTGTTTTTTTGTAACCTGCATGATCACTTACAGGAAAAAAAAATTAGAAACAGTTCTCCACATAAGGGCAAAACAAAAAGATCATGTGCTAGCTTGATGTATAGCAGGAAATCAGCGCAACAATGTGGCACAGGTACCTTTGCTGGATCTATACGCGGCGATAAGGATGATGGCTCTTGATCTCTTACGACTATATGAGCTCCCTCAGTACTTGATGTTCTTAAGGGGCCCGCTTGTGGTTGATAAGAGTTGTAAGGAGCAGCAGTAGGCTCCTCCAGTCTGACATTACTTAGGTTTACATTAGCATTTACTGCAGAGGTTGATGAGGTTGCAGGGTTTGATTCAGGCGACGGGGAAAGGTAAGGGACTGCAGGTGAGGCTTCTGCTTTCTGTGAAGTGTTTAAAATATTTTAAATATACCGCTATTGAATCACTGTATGACTTTTTGATTTATATTAAAATAATTTAAATGATGTTTGATCAATGCAGCTAGATGTAGAATGAAATGTATTGAAAGTATCATGCACTAGGACTTCCAGAAATTCATTATCTTGAAGATTAAAAAAAAAAAGCAAAACATTTAATCAAAGTAGAATGGCCCTTCAATTCCCCTCCTGTCATAATGAGTCACTAGAACAGGTAGGGCAAGCTGATTCTCCAATTCATTATAACATATTATTGTTGCTGTTGACAGATTCATGTATGCTGCTCACAATACTGGTAAGTAGACTGTAAACACAGATTTCTTGTTCAAGAGAACTTGCAACCTGAAGTAAATGTATAGTGGTGAGTGTATAAAGTTACTTTCTTACCGGCTGAGTAGTAGTAGTTTTAAATCCTGAAGAATCTATTCTGAGATTTGGCTGTGGCTGAGCTTGGGATGCATAAGTAGGGTAAGTTTGAGTTTCATGATGCATTCCAGAAGAATCCTCTCTAACAGGTTCAGAAGAACGTGTAATAGCAGATTCAGGAGGAGTCCCAACCTCATCATTCAGAGTTTCATCCAGTTCTTGATCAGTATAAGCACCCCCTTCTGTATCTGTGTCTTCATAATCAGATGTGTGTCTACTGTCTGTGCTGTACATAGAATATTCACTACCAGGAGCTGAGAGGTAAGAAAGGCGGTCATCATGTAAATCAAGGTCATCACTTGTAGCACCATCTGCCTGTGTCAAACAAAATTAGAGGACACACTTACTGAAATACCTTGACAGAATGCCCTTTTTCTTGCAATGTAAAGCTAGAAAATTCTTTTTTTGTGAATAATTAAGAACTGAACAAATGGAATGCATCTAGTCTTGTTCTGAACCACAGTAGAGATTCTGGTAGTTAAAGTTAGTTATATTCCAAATCCAGCAGCACAGCAACAGTATGAAAATTCAACAATTCTGAATAGGATAAGGGAGGAGAAATCAAGTTTCACTCATCGAAGATGTTAAGCTTACACCTAAAGGCCTTTTCTGCAATCTAGCTCTTTGAATCATTTTACTAAAGGGTCAGATGACCGTCAATGTAAGGAAGGGTTAGCGCACAGCATCCACAGAAATCAAAATGTTTGGAAAGATACAAGCTGCACTTTGAAGTCATATAATGATACCGAAATCATTAACTTGAAGGTAGATATAGTGAGGGGAAAGGAGCTCACAATACAAACAGAAATAGATGATCCAAATATTAAGAAACATGTAGCAATATCTGATTCATCATTTGCTTACTTGTAGTTGGCACTCCGCTTGGTATCAGTTCTTCAAGAGGGCGACTCTTATGTGCATGGCGTAACATGCAGCTTGAGAAGCCAAGTGGAGTTTTAGTGAGGAACACAGAATACTAACTTGTGGGTTTGCATCTGTGCTCTCACAACTGAGAGAACACAGTTCTCAGAAAGGTCAGAAAGAACATGAATATGCCACCTGCTTTTATATTAACAAGAAAGTAATTCATCATCAGGCAATCCCAGCCCCTAGTACTAATGCAGCAGAACACATAGAATTTCTTTCAAGAAAATGCATCCTATCATCACAAAGTCTTCAAAGCAATAATATATGCTCCAGTTACCAGCGGCAATAGGCAAATGCTCTCATTTACTACACTGCTACATGCACAAGGACAACTGTACAACCTTCATTAACAGAATAACTGCACTAACGTAGTGACAAATCAGTTTTGAGCAGTTCACACAGCCATGAGGCATTACTACTTTAGATCTTCAAATGATGGTTAAAGTGAAGAGGAAAAAAGGAAAACAAGCTCCATTCCACAAGTATCAGCCCATATCTATAATACCAGTAAGAATGAAAAGGACAAAAAACCTCTTATAAATACAGTTTTGTCATTTCTTCCCAAACATATTATTTCTTACCTTCCCTTCTGAAACCCACACTAGTTGGTTCTGTTGTTGCTGAATTGCTTCTTTTAGAGCTCCATACCATCCTTCATTCATTGAATTCAAGTTAATGGTAGCTAGAAGTACAGCAGGTTAGTCTGACTTACAATTTCTGCAGAATTATAAAAAGGATCTGTACCACCAGTAATAAAAGCAATATAAACTGGTAGGTTAAAACTATGCAGTTTAAATAGTAATGTAAATATTAGTGCTTAAACCAATCTTAAAGCCTAACATGGTCTGGGATATTTTATCCCATAAGAAATCCTGAGTTAACAGTAGAGTGAGGCTTTGGTTTAGCCAAAAAAAAAAAAAAAAAAAAAAAATTATATCATCTTCCTATTTATCCAAGTATTTGATTTTGGCTAATGATCCCGAAAAGCCACCAGATCTATTAGAAATATCATTCTGATGCTTCAGATTGCTTTACATTTGTGCAGTCATGTGCAAACGATGCACACATCAGTGAACTATTTGCTATTGAATGGGGGACCCTGAACAAGTCAACAACTGCCTGACTTGGTCCAGTTGCAAAGAAGTCTGGAGTAAAAAGTTACTCTCATCTCACCTCCCCCTTCCTCTCAAATACAAATCCAGTATATCTAATTACTTACTTGTAAAGAGATGGTGGTTATTTTTGCGTAGCTTGTGAGCTCTTTCATATAGCTTTCTGGCACTTTTTCGTGATTCTGGGCACAACCTCATTCTCATAGTCTTTACACCCTGCTTAGAATCAGGGTTTAGGAACACTACAATAGGATACCACTGGGCATAATTCAGACGGTCCACTGCATTAGGAGTGACATCTAATAAAGCATGTTTGTCCTGTTGTGATAAAAAGGACAGAGGCAAGAAAGTGAATCACTTACATAGTAGATTTGTGGGTTTTTTCCAAACATCCCCCCCCGTTTATTTTGTATTGCCATTCTCTGTATTGATTTAAATTATTTTCCTATTTGAATAACAGAATAATAGAAGCCAAACCAATTCCAACACCAGGGTATGTATGCACATACATCTTGAACTACAGGACTCTGTAAAACTATAAGCTTTTTAAAATTTAACTCCGTATTTAAAAAACCCTTCTCCTCAAAAGAAAGCAAGCACTAAGGTAAAAATAAGCAATTTCCTATTAGTATTCTGCTAATAGAAGGAAAGATTGAAACACAAGACCTAGTCTCATTACACACCTTCATCTTCCTTTAAAAAAAAAAAAAGTCACTCTGAACACAAGAACTTGTCCAGCTTTCATCTTAGCACAAGATTCCTCAAGCAACAGCATGCAGTATCCCCACTTGGCTGCTAGAATAGCTTCCTGCCCCACTCCACTACTTGGGCATTTGAAAGGCTTGCAGTTTAAGTAAGGAAATAAAAAGGCGAGGAGTAGAGCCTTGTATCATGAACTGATGTCAGAAATTTTAAGGATATTAAGGAAGGACCCTTTCCCCTAGTCCTTTACGTGAAGGAGTAAACAGCTTAAAGCAGCTTTAATGGAAAGAGGACAACACTCCCTGGAAGAATCTAGATTTACTTCCAGGCTGCAGTTATTAATGGGGAAAAAGAAAGGGGTAATGCGTTGTTCTTTTTTTTAATTAACCAATAGAAACATGAGAAAGTAATTTTTAAAGGAAACACACTAATTATTCTTCTAAATTTAAAACACCTGGCACTTTTACTCTTCTTGTGTACAGTGACAATAAAAGAAAGACTTACTCTATCAATTATCTGTTTTATAGTATGAAGACGAATAATGCCGGAACTACGTTGGTCAGTACCAGCATCTCTTGGTTCACTTTCTGGTAAAGAGGACACAGTAAAAATCTGTTGTAAGTTTCCAACATATTCTACATTCTCTCTTTAAAATGTAATAAACCATTTCATAGCTCAAATTGTCAATTCAGATTGAAGACAGTCCTCCTGCTTCAAAAACTTACATGAAAATCTACCCACCAATTTGGCCATAAAAATCACTACATCTTTACAAAAGCACTTAGAAATAGGATAAGTTATTAAATTAAATATTAATTATAACATAATTCATGAATTATGAATATATGAATGATATATGAATTATAAAGAAATTTGAGAAGGATATACGTAGAACTAATACTACTTTTATCTTCAGAGAATTATCAGCAACCAAACAGTGAAAGCTTATGTCTAGCCTGTTCCTTTACACTGTCAAGATCTGGTTAAACATGTTAACAGCTAAAGCAGAAACAGCTGTTGTAGAAACAAACAACCCAGCAAAAGACAGTTGACCATTTCTTAACTGCAGAAAAACCTGATCTCACACTTACTTGCAATTTGAAAGATATCTGGTTCTTCTCTAGCAAGTTTCTCCCGTGCAACATCAGCTATTGGACCAAAAATCGTTACAGGTCTGAGAAACCCAGCTAGAGTTGAAGGGAAAAAATGTCAAACATTATTATGCAAGATACTCTTAAACACATAGGCTAATACAAAGCAAACCACACAAACTTGTTAAGCTGCAACAGTAAGAATAAAGCCATACCTTCCCGAAGAACAACTCTTTCATAGGCAGGAAACTTTGTCTGAACAGGTTGGGCAGAAAGATCTTCTCTACTTTTTCGGAGATTTCTTTTTGAGCTACGCAAACCTCGGAATCTCCAAAAATCCGCTCGATCTCCTCCTGCTGTCTTTGGAAGCGTGTACTGTACGCTAGCTAGTTGCTCAGCTCTAAGGTGACAACAAATCTCAACCAGTTATCAAGGAAGCCAGCTTCGGAAGTAATGCTTGACTAGCAAGCTTATCCTTCCAAAAAACACTACCACCTGCTAAATCAAACTTTCGCTGTTGAACTACTGAGGCTGATCACATTTCTGAAGTTTTATTTAGCCTTATCTCTTGTACTGAAAAGAAAGTTTTAAGGCTTTTGTGGACTGTACAAGAGCCAAAAGCAAATCCACAGATCAGATATTTAACTTCAATTTGTTTTAACACTTTGTCACTTTCTGACAGTTCTATAAACTAGCATCCTTGCAGACAAATCCAATCATTCATTATACAGATGTAGAATTTAAAACTGTAGTTCTGAACAGCAATTTAATTATGTGAAGATCGTACCTGTTTTTGTTAGGTATGATACCTCTTTCAACTTCCTTATGATTCTTGCCAATTCGAATTGCCAGCCATGAACCCAGTTTGCCATTGTACAGAGTATCCACCACCCGGAACACTTCACCTTTGTTGAAACTCAGTCCGTAAGGAGATTCCTTTTCATATTCAAAATGAGTTCTGATATAGAAAGAATCCCCTACATCAGACTCAACAATGCGACGATAAACTGAAAAATGAAAAAGTATAAGAAATAATTACCTAAGTTTAAGTGATGTCCTAATGCTCACAAGAATTACTCAAGGCAGTGCCTCATCTTAGTTTTCTTTGTTTTAATATAGAGTATAACTTCAAGAAGCCTTGATGTCTCAGAGCTGCTCTATTTTAAGCAGCATAGCTATTAATAGCATACTCTACCAACATAAATTCAACTTCCATGGTCAATAATTTGGTGCTAGGTCAAGCTTAATTCATTTTCCCTGAAAGGAATAAATCTTACTAAGAAAGAAGTTTGTGTGTGCACACACAGTGTAATCACTCATTTTCAACAGCATAACTACAACAGACTGTCCTGCTCCCCCCAAGGTTTAATGTCAATACTTTTGTCAGATGCTAGGGGTTATTCTTGGTGTTTTTTGGGGGGTTGTTTTGAGATGGGGGTATACTGTTACAATATCAAGCTCTCGTCCATTTGTAGTAGTAACCTATCCCAAAGCCAACAGTCTTCATAAGATGCCAATTTCACACAAGTCATAAATTTGTCATTATTTGCTATACTGTTTGTGTTGTTTCAAGCAGTCTACTACATTGCTCCCAATATACAAATATTTACCATCTTTCTTCTTTTGTGCCAGAATGGTTACTTCTTCGCCTTTAGGAAGGTCAAGCAAAAAAAGGACAGCTTCTTCTCTGATGATATTTGTGAAGTCTACATTATTTACCTGTTACCAATGAAGTAATCAGTTTGATTTAGCATACAACATAGTAACAGAGATTTAACTATACAATGGAAAAATCTAGAGCAATTTATTTCTACCTTTTTTTTTTTAAAAAAAAACCCCTCAGTTTCTTACATACACATCAAGTGCATGTATCTCAAGATGTCTCCTGTACCTCTGAACAGTCCCTCTTTATTTCTTGATAAAAGCAGAACATCTAGAATAGGTAGCTTTTAATTTTATATTCTTTCGATCAATATTATGGAGCACCTATAATGACAAATAATATACACAGCCCTCTAACAATTTAGTGACCCAGCAGTCAAAAAACCAAACAACTTTATCAACTGAATTAGTCTAAGAAATTGGATGTAAAACTTACCAACCCTCCTAGCAACAGTACAGTAGCAGGAGATTTTACTGCTATTAAGTCATCTAGTAAGTACATAAGGAAAAAATTTGTATGAAGTATAAAGGCTATATATTCAATGCTACAGAAAGAAAACCTTCTTTGGTACAACAAAGCATATGTATTGTTATTGGTTTTGACATACCCTGAGAATCTGGTCCCCTTCCTCTAATCCTTCTTTCGCTGCAGGGCTGTCTTCCAGAACACCAGCTACAAATATGCCAACATCATTGCCACCTGCTAGTCGCAAACCCACACTATCTCCTTTTCTGAACTTTACCAGTTTCATGCTTGGCCTAGAGATTGAGAAAACATTCCACTTAGAGATGTAATAACATAAAATATCCTGGTAAATCTGAGACTGAACACATGCAAAATATTTTGCCTATCATTCCCATTACAGAATATTATGCTATGCATAGCATTTACTGCTTATCAACTGCAGCATTACAATACACTAATTAGCAGCACTTCAAAAACCCACCTGTATTTACTTGTTTAGTGGGGTTTGTCTTATGCTCATAGAGTGATTTAAGTGAGGTGCTCTGACATTCTCTTCCAAGAATGTTCCTCCTTTTAAAGAGTTGTGCTGCCATATAGATTTATTTTGGCTCTAAAGAGATTAAGATGAATTTGAGTCCAAAACAAACTAGGATCTATTCTCATGTACACTAAAGTCCATAAAGGAGATCCCAGTTAAAGTAGACTAATTTCTATGTCATGACTCTGCACATTTCTGTAGTGACCCTTTATTTATTATTCTCCATTTATTACGAAAGAATATACTACAGTATCTCCTCTCTCTGGAGATAGGGATAGAGCAGGAGGGGTGGGGGTACCCAGGGTAGGATAAGCACTGCAAATTCTTTTCAACAGCTGATCACTGCAACTGCTTATTACCTAAAAAATTAATAGACTTAAAAATGGTATATATCACAAGTATCAACAAGGCTCAGGAATAGACCTAAATTCTTCATCCTAGTACTTCTGAACAGAAGTGTGAGGACAGCATATTGGACTTTACATAAGACCATTTATGCCAGTTACTCATCACCTTGGATAAAAACTTGGTTTGCTCAAGGACCAGGCAGATTTGAATAGAGTTCAGAGTTACATTACCGAAGCATTCCATCTTCATGGGTTGAATTTGGTAAAGGACCATCAGATGGACTGACTGGTAAATCCACATCTGGCTGACCTCCTTGTGCATACACTGGCTTTGGTTCTATTAAAATATCAAAACATTTCAAATGTCCATTTGGTCATTTAAAAATGCCTAACTTTTAATTAAGAGCTCAAAGACTTCTTCCAATAGCCTTCCTCTACCCCTCTTAAACCCACTTGGAAGTGAAATATTAGAAACTGTACAACAGAAGACACTCTCATCATGTCATTCAAAGCACATGATTACCAGCCTAATTATTGTTTCAGTAAAAGTCCCAAAACCTTCTTAGTATTTCATTAAGTACTCTGAACACTGTAAAACTACAAGAACTAGAAGGCTTCATACTTGGAAGACCACCTTCAACGGTGCTGTTTCTCACGTTGATTTATCTGACGTAACATGTTCATTATCCATTGGCTCTCCTCCCTCAAGATTTCAATTTTTGAAATGAAAATACCACAAAGTCAAACTACTGCTGCATGCCTTGAGGTTGGCAGATTTCAACACTTACTTTAGTCCAATTGGTGGTTCTTAAAAATAAACATTTACTATGGCTCTGCTTCATAGATTCTCTAGAGTCACTGGGAGCAAACTGACACTGCAGTCTTCCCTCAATAACAAACTTTAATAGGGTCTCTTTGTGTTTAGGGCCTCTTTGTATTTAGGGCTTATGTCTGCATACTTGAAAAAAGTTGATTTCCAACTAGGCTGGCTTTAATATTCCTGATCTTCCCAACAACTGTGCTGTCTTACTTTTCAAATCACTGAACAGACTAGTTCGAAATTGGGATTTTCAGACAACAATCTGGTAATAACACCTTTTCTAATGTGACTTTTGTCCTTACCATACAGTATCATTGCATTTTCCTTTAAGTCTTTAATGAGCCTTTTCCAGCCTAAGGCTCTGATGATCCCTCTAGACAAATAACTCCCCTTCCACCCTCCTTTGAAACAATCAACCCTAACAGTCATCTTGCCCTTAATCTAAGCAGCAAACTGTCAGAGATTCTACTAACTACTTTTCTAACCACATCTTCATTACAGTCTTTGAAAGACCCTCGTTTCCCTAGAGCTTTCTGTGAGGCTGTTAAAGGATTATGCCCTTTACTGCACCTTTTAATCTCAGATTTTTTATAATGTCAAGGTAATTTTATCTGCAAACACAAATTTAAATATTATCTTTATCTACTGGCCTATATCTCCTCTCATGCAAACTAAGTATTTCCATGCATCTTTCTATTCAATCAAGAATGGAACATTTCTTCTTCCCCACTAACCAGAAAAATCCTTGCAGTATTTACTACTTGTTTGCCTCTCCCTCAAACCAATTATTAGTACATTACTTTGAATTAAAAGTCATTTCAAGGGTCTCCTGTCCTGGCTGGCTTTGTATTATGCTAATTATTAATCTTCAGTATCTTACAGAAATACAGAATTCATCTTTCTAATCTCACTGCTACATCTTTTTCCTATCTTGGCAAATAAAAACTTACTTCATTTGCACCTTTTCATACCACCACTGCAAAAGGTCACCTCCTATGACAGCCTTTTTAATAATGGCTGCTGCATCAGAAAACCTACTGTTTTCATCTTCTAGATCTTTCAGAGTCTATCAACATCATAACTCTTCCAATTCTTCACTGAGCTACTGAATGCTACATGCAGAACTGTCACTGTTCATTCCTTAAGTCTTCAAATACTTTCAAGCTTGAACGTGCATTTTCTCATTCTACCCAGCCTTTCAAGAACAGCTCCCGCTAACCATCTGCATAGGTCCTCTTTCTCCACTTACAATTTCACTAAAGAGCCTCATTCTGTAAACAAAAATTTATAAGTTAGCCTGTCCAGAACAGCATTCTGTCACAGTATCATCTTAGGTTCCTTCTTTTTTACACTAACTGGCTTTTAGCTGCTGCCATTTAGTTTATCCTTCCTTTTCAGAAAAGAAAAAAATATTTTGTTCCGGTTTTATTAGTTGTACTGCACTTGTTGAAATACCTTCTTGGTCCATGACTGCAGTTAGTAAGTGCCACAGCAACCAAGCATTTCAGAGTGCTTTCAGTTGTTGGGAGTTGGGAACAGTAGTTCTAAACAGGCTTAACTATACCCACGTTTAAATACAGCCTGCCGTAAGCAACAGTCTACTGCTCGACTCTTGGAAAAGAAATGACAGATTTTAACCCTGCTTCAGAAATCAGGACAAAACTCTTTATAACCATCAGCTACAAATACAGCTCTAAACACTGACATTTGACCCCTATATAACAGGCAGGCCCCACAGCTTGGGTTTTCAGGCTGACACTAAAATATAAGTGGGATAGATAAGGTTATGAAAACTGTTCGTATTCAGAAATAAAAATAATTAGGACGTGGTCTGTTTTAAGACTTTGAAATATTTCCACAAATATGCAATGGCATAAAGTCTTTACTGGTCATCCATTTTCAACAACATGCATAATTAATATATTTTAATGTTTTTACCTGGGAGTGGTGGAGTTTGTTTTTCAGTTCTTTCGACTGCCACCTCTTCCATAGTTTTAGAAATATCATCTGCATTCTTTACAGGTGTAGAGACAGCTCCTGGTTTAGTTATTCTCTCATCTTCTCTGCTTCGAAGACTACATTAGAAAAAAAATATTCCACTCTGCATATAGAATTGTTTCTATGACCTTGGCCTACTAAGACTAAAGGATAAATTCTTTGATTCACAAAATTCAGGTTTGGTGGGTAAGGAATACCAAGGTTTCATTCTTAGCCTATCAAGTTACTAATAATTTTTACCAATTCTAAATCTAGGCATTTTGTCCCTAACTTCATGTTAATAAAGGACTTCTCTAGATATGGCTATTTAGAAAGAGGAAGGACATGATGAAACAGACTACTCTCTGCCTCAAGCATCAAAGTCATACATGTGCTGCATATTGAAAGCTATATAAAAAAAAGACAAGAAAGGGAAAAAAGGGGAGAAGAGCAGTTACTATGTTCTTTTCCTCACCCCTCCCTGTAGAAATCATGGATTTTTAGACTTAATTCTTTGGCTTTGCTGTGGTCAAGCTAATTTATCTGCTCCCTTGTGTTGCAGCCACCCTGGCACACAAGTGCTGCCGGTATGGCTCTTGGTAGGGCTTTGCATAGATAAAAGGTAGAACACAAACATGCCCCCGATTTCTCAAGTCTTCAGATAGAATAAGATCTTCAATTCACAGCTATTACAAGACAGAAAGGCTTCTCACACACTCGGTCACGCATGTATTTAAGTAAAAAGCCAACTTGCTTTTCCTATACATGTTACAGTGTAAAACAGAAGTATATGACAAAAAAATTTTCTCTTGTTCTTTAAATGATGAGATCAACTAAAGCTCAAAAGAACAATTTCTCCTCCTTGATCCCAAAAGATTAAGGTTTTTTGTATTGTTAGACAGAGGTACAGCTGGTAGCAGAACTGAACAGAACATGTACTGTATGTCAAAATTTTAACTGTTACACTGATATGTTCCACAGCAAATATTCTAATAGGGTCAGAGTAGGTGAGAATTAATAAACAGCTGGAAAAAGAGAAATAGATCAATAAACCAAAGAATCTTAATTCCAGAACACATACATTCTAAAACAAAGTAGTAATGAGATGCTCAAAATAACTATTCAATTCCTGAGAGTTGGCAAATAAGCAAGGTTATAAAAGATATTTGAGAGAAGACAGACACATATCATAGCTTTTTATAAAATATCAGACATAATTGCCAAGGAGGTACTTCCTCAAAGTTAACAACAGCTTGGCCAGTAGGTGCAAGTCCAACTACTCTTATAAAGGAGAGGTCTGTACTGTGGGGGAAAAGTAAAGTTTTTCACTACCAACAGCTAGATGGTGCTACTAGGCAACAGTAAGTATCAGTTTCCATGAAGTACAAATGTATTAGAAAAAACATTATATAAAATACAGACTGCTTATTTTAATCAGAACTGATACTTCAAGAGTTGGAAGTATGACTTAGGACATCCCAACAAATTATCCAAGGTGTGCAAGAAAGAACAAAATAAATAGTAAATGTCTAAATACAAGCAGATCATGCTTTCCTGAAGCAACGTGAAGTTTGAAACATCAGAAATAAAGCTCAGCTATTCAGCCAAAACATACTAAGATTTTTCAGTACTTTCTTCTGCCAGTTTTCAAACTGTGGGCCTGTAGGCAGCAAAAAAACCCCAACCCAACAACAAAAAACTGCAATCATCACAACAATCTGGGAAGGCACTGGCACCCTTGCATTGTAAACAACCATCATGCTACAAGTTACCGGTAAAAATAAGTACAGTGGCCTAATTTTAAAAAAATCTTGATTTGTCCCTTTTTTATTCAGATAAATCCCTTTTTGGGGCTTCCAGAGTTGATCATAATGATGTTAAAGCACTACATCTAGCAAAATGAAAAGTAAAGATTTGTTCTTCTACTTTGTTCCCAAACCTCACTGACAAAAATTTTCTTATTCCTCTTTCAGATTTCCAGCCTATTTTAATTTGTGTATAAGATTAAGTACATAAGCTAAAAGCTTATGTATTTTACTTCCAGTATGAGACTGATATGGGACTGGACTCCTCACTTCCTTTAAGATTGTTCCTGGCTTGTTAAAAACAGGCACATAAATTTAACTGTTTAAATGCATACTAAGTGTCTTATAAACAAAAAAAGAGTCCTGTAGTAGTGTAAGTTACAACGAATTCCCCTCTCTGTCCAAGAATTTCTGGGTAATGAGCACTAGTTAACATGATATTACAGTAAATTTCCCCCATGAGCCCTCTCTACCTGTTTCCAAGTTATCTCCTAATGCTTAACAGAAGCATTATTCTGAAATAGTAGTATCTGTTTTGCTTTAAAAATAAGGCCAAAAATATTGCAGTTACTACAGAAGGACAAAAGTAATTGTACATTTCCTCTCCACATAGTCCAAAACCACTGTAATTATCTGAAGCAATAAGCTTCTAGACCGGGCTATGCATGTAGGCAAATACACCCTGTCAGCTTAAAATGGCTGCAAAAGGTCAGTTCTACTCTATATAACACAACAAAGTTTAAATTCAAAAAGCTGATAGAAATGCAACTGAGAACAATAGAAGAGTATAATTTTTCTTGATTTTGCTTAAATTGTCCAGTAAGCACTGAATATTTCACTTCGCAAGAGGAACAACCTGATGCTGTCGCTGGTTCCAGGTAAGGGAAACGTTAAAATCTGACTGCTGCACTTCCCAAGAGACAAAAGGTTTGTTCGCTGTGTGCTCTGTAATACTATTGTTTATCATCTGTGTTGTGTGAGGGCCCCCTTTACCTCACTTCCCCCTCTACTTCCCACCCCTCCCCTTTTTTTTCCCTAAGTATGCCTAACAAGCATTTAAAACAACCTGCTGTCGCAAAAATGCAGTCAAGCTACACACTAGTGCCATCAACTGTGGCTATTACATCAGAACAAAAGACTACTGTCTGCAACACAGTTAGAATGCTTGCTTGCACAAAAAGTTCTGAAAAATAGGAATACGTAGGCTCTTTACAAATGTGTTCTTAGCACATCTCAAACTGTTTAGCATGGGAAGACAGTAAGAGCTAAGAGAGGGCCAAGAGGCATCTTCCTAAGCACATTCAAAAATAGGGCTGATTTTTGTCCCATATTCCAGTTTTTCAGCTTGTTTTGAAAATGGACAGAACAACAAATCTCTCATGCTATATATAAATTGACAACTGTATTAGAGAAGTCAACTTCATGCTTCCAGAAATCATGATGACCTCTACAGGGATTTCTTCAAGCTACACCTGTCTTGCTGAGCCTGAACATGTATCACAAACCATCTTTGCTATTGGAGTAACCAGGTGAGGAAGGCAGCAGGAGAGAGTTCCTGAGTGGGAGTTCTTTTAAATGCCCATAGATGTAATCTGGCAGACTTGCCAGCACCTGGCTGTAAATGCCACTTTTCAGGATGGGTCACACCAAACACTTATCTAACTCAACAAGTTGTTACTGCCAGTAGTTAAGACCAGATAGGCAAGAAAGAGTACATATTATACCTCCCCAAAGTACTCTCCAACTTGGGGTGCGGAGACCTATTCTGCTCATTCTAGCTTTTTAAGTACAGCTGTTTAACAGACTATACTAAGTTGCCTTATGTTATCTGACATTCTATATTTAAGATGCACTTTTTCTCCGCCTGGACAGTTGTTGTTCTGCATATCTTTAAAATTATACATGTCTTTTAAAACTATACTTAACCTTTAAAACATGATCTGTGCAGAGAGCCTCTCCTCAAAGCCAGGACATATTTGTATCTTACATTTCACTTCATACCTAATTCAGCATCAGCTAGCTATAAATTTTCCAAGTCTCTAGGGCTATGAGTATTTATCTGTCCCCGGAGATTTGTAAGATTCATTCTCTGGATTCTTTTCAAGACTATGGATAATTTGCAATCCTCCACAAGTGAAAAAAAACATACAAGTGTAATTAGTCTTATTTATTAGTAAAATAAGAAGAACATGTTCCAGAATCTGAGTTTTAAAAGACTGTTCGAGAGACATCTATGAACTTCCTTTGGACTAGAGAAAAGTACAAGTGCTTTGACAGAATGTTCAAATAGCAACTGTGGAAATTCCACATCCAGGAAAACTGCAGGCACACTGGTGTACATACCAGTATGGAATATTGAAAGATGGACAACACATTGAAAACCCTGCCAGCATCCAAAGCAATGCTTCAGCAAGTCTGTTGGCAGGTTTCTGTACTATAGTGCACACCTACAAGTGTCAGTCTATAATTAAGCTTGGATGAAAGGACTAAGGATTCCCTTGGAATTTCTCTCCTGATTAACATAAGACACTTGGCAGAACAGGGTCTAAATAGAGACTCAACACCTTCAATACATTTTTAATGTCCTCCTTAAGCTCAGTTTGTGGACTTTTGGCACCTTTTCCTCCTCAGCTTGTTGTTCTCAAATTTTTTTTGACTCCAAATTTTTCACCAAATTATAAAAAAAAAATGAGGCAGTTGCAACTGATTTGATCTTACAGCAGATCTGAACTTGCACAAATAACCACTACAAAGAACAGCTGCTTTATCTTGTTTTTCTTTATGTGGCTCGGGGCCCAATTTTACTGATCTTGAAAGGGACATGTCCAACAGGAAGTCAATCCATGCCAAGGTAGCTCTTGTTCATAAAGTAGATATAGCGGATGCATTCGGAGTTGAGATAACTTCAAAGTTCCTTCTGAGGAAGGATTTAATTATTCTGACAGGGTAGTCCATAGGGAGGAAGTGACCATCTACCTAAGCCACTGTAATAGGACAGGAAAGCACTAACACTAGGCTAAGTCAGTCATCGTTTCAGTTTTGATAGATTTTTTTCTTCCCCTCCCTCCACAAGCCCTTTTCACACTGCATTAGAAATGCATGTCAAGAAATAAAGGTTTTAAATCTGAGAGAGACCTCATAACCATCACAATCAAATCCCTGCATCTGGGGAGCTGCTTTTAACTTTTTCCAATAATGGGGTTCCTACTTGGAAACAAACTTTCATGCCTTGTGGTCTCTCTAAGCAATATACATGGAAAAGAAGCAAAAATGTCTGTAATCCATAACCCCAACCAGGTGTACATGCAGGTAAGATCTGTCCTGCAGTTTTATTAACCCTTAAAAGACCCCCAAAACCTTGAAGGTATAAGCGTTATTTTCCTATCCAGCAAACAAAATGTTGTTAATAACCAATCAAGTTTTATGGAACAGCTAGCTGCAATTTGATTTTCAGAATTTTTAACAGCATCTAAAAATCTTCAAATACAGGCTCTGAATTTGAAAGTTGTGACATATCAGTTCTAACTTTTATTCCATCATCTATGAGCACTCAGAAGGTAAACTCTTCTCTTACAAACGTTTAGTAGATTCTGAAATCCAACACTGAAATTCTGTTTCAACAAATTAACGCCCATTTCCAGCAAACTGTGGAAATGCAAAACAGGACAGATTTATGTTATTCAGGATTAAAGTTTCACATAGCAGAAGAAAAAATTACACACTATAAAACATACTTCTTTCTGAATTCATGTAAAATAACACTTGCCTACTTCAGAATTACTGTGAATGTCCCACTGCCAAGTTCAAATATCAAAAGCTACATTTCAAAAGTGAAATTTGCTGTGTGATGCTCCTTTTTTTCAGGAATTAAGTATATTCAGAAACAAAAGATAACTTTTAAAGAAGGCTAGTGAGGAAAGTAAATAGCCTATGCCTAAATAAAGCAAAGATTTCAACAAGTTTACCCAGGTTGGACAGTCAATAGGGAACTCTGCTACTAGTCATCTCAAATATCCTTGCAGCTAACTGCTTTCTAAAACCAAAATATAATTGCATATGCTTCAATAACATATATAACTATCAAACTTATTGTCTTTCATACAATCATGCTCTAAGATTATGTTTAAAAAAGAGCTAACAACGAAGTTAAAAATTCCATTTCTCCTGAAGTCTAAAAAGATTTGGATCATTATCAGCTGCATCTCTTGACAGAAAGGATGCCATATTACTACTGCCATAGTTTTGCGTCACATTTGTCACACTCTGTAAATACAAGCACTCCTCCAACTTACGTCACATTAAATAGTTGAATTAAAAATAATACAATGCTGCCATCACCTGCCGTTGCTGGGCTGCTGTGGAGAATGTCTGGAATGGTCTGAAGGCTCTGACCTCTGGTCAGGAGATCGTGAACGACTGCGGCGGGGCCTGTCATGTGATCGGTTGGAATGATCTGATGCCAGCGACTGAATTTCTGAAATGTCTGTTAAATAAAAGTTGTTTTTTCATGAAATGACTGTAATTAAAATGGTGGTGTGATCTGCTCAAATGGAAATAAGCTTTTGCAAAGAATTTTTATGAAGATGTTAAATCTATGTTTATTATTTCAAAACAACTAAATTTAATATTCCTGAAAAAACAACTGCAAGAATTGGAGTTGTATATTTTTCTCCACTGTTTTTGAACATATGGATTTCAATCACATTCAAACAAGAATTTACCCACATGATAATCTTATTCCTCACTCTTCTGCTCCCCACCCTCTCATCCCACTTAGGTATTTAACATCTTCACAACACAGGGAATTCTTCTCTCTCTTTGGAAATCAAGTTTATTTATACTCACCATCTCTTTCTGAAGCATTAGCAGAATGAATACTGTCAGAAAGATCAGGAACATTCAACAGTGTAGCTCGTTCATCTCGCTGAACAACCATCTTTAACTTGCCTTTTGACCTTTCTATTAGTGTTTTTGCATCTGCTAAGGACATATTTTCCGTCACTGTGCCATTTATCTGGAACAGAGTAAGAGAAGAGCAGATATAAACTTACTGAAAAAAAACAGTGAATCTCCAGTAGAAAGTGGTTTTCTGTCTGATGATATTTAGATTTTAGAAATAGGTGGAGATATTTATCAAATTACCACAATACACTGAAAGACTATTGGGCTCATCCAAACTGTAACACAATATTAGAAATTTATTTTCATCTTTCAAAGACAAAGCCTCTACCACTAATAAAAAACTTATTTTAAAATATTAGTTACATTTTTTTGAACCAGCACTTCTATATGCTGGAGAGTGTTTTTCTGCACCAACATATTTATAGCAGTATCTTGAAATTAAAGTTGCTAGTATGGAATTGAAAATCCCTGGGTATATTGATTTCCACAAAAATCAAAATTTATCCTGAAGGCAAGTTCTGGTGTTGCTCAACAGCACAATTCCACAATGTTATACTGTATAACTAAGCATACAGTGCCAAAGTTTCATACCATTCCCAAATGTTTTCTATTAGTGTTTACAGTGGGCACTATTTGTCTGAATAAGGCCTGGGGAATAATACCAAAAAACCCCAGAAGACTTTATTATTTCCCTTTCCTTAGAGAGGTTGATTTATATTTAAATTTATTGACCTTTGAAATAATTTAATTCGAGATACATCTTCAACTAGTAATAATTACGTTAAGAAATAGCTAATTATAAGAACAGTTTTATCAGTAAGTTTTCCTCTTGAAAAAAAACCCACCACCACCATTTACTATACCTTCAGTACAACATCTCCTTCCTGAATATTGCCATCTCTTGCTGCCAGGCTATCCTGTGATATTTCTTTCACAAATATGTGGCTTGCCAACCGTAGACCATACTCTATATAATAGCAATAAAAGAAAAAGAAAACTGATGAAGCTACATTAAAAAAAAAAAAAAAAAGGAGGGAGGTATCTGAAGATTTACAACACTGCTTTATACAACATTTACACTGGGTACGCAAAGAGGACAGTGAACTTGACACATGAAGGGCTGCAGTGGAATTACACTAGGGATTTACCATTATATCAATTTATTTTGTAACTCTGTAATCATAGGTGTTGTTCAACAACTTAGTATAGATGCTCCTACAATTTTCCCTCTTTCAAACAAGACAAACACTGAAGACTACACTGAAGTATACGGAAGGTATGTAGCCACTGACCACCAGATGTCAGGTGCACAGTTGGGATTTGGTAACACTATATAACACTTTACTCTTAATTAAGCACATGTATTTTGGCATATGAAAGATACCACCAGAAATACATTAGCAGTTTTTAAATTTTCAACTAGCTACTGGTAAAATGGGTAAACTTGTTAACAGCAATGTTCATAGAGTCCATGAAGCCCTTGATGCAACACTGACTGAAGCAGTTGGCCTTTAAAAACCAGCAAAAGTCTTAGCAAGAGAATTACATACAAGTTACCTTCATTTTTCCTTGATTTCACCAGTGTTACTTTGGTAGGTTTTGCAGGCTGACTGGAAGTAACCGACCTTCTGTCTGATCTTGGTGATAAGCTTCTCTCTCTGCTAGCACTTCGATCTCTTACCCAGCTCTTCTCATGCCTTCTGTTGGCACTTGGACCACCACGGCTGCTTCTTGGATCACGTATCTCTTCATCATAGCTGTCATCCTCATTTTCAGACACTGGTTCAGGTTCTGGTCGAGCCACTGGAATCTGAATTTTCTTCATCCTTCTGATAGTCTACAGCCAAAAACTAGACATCAGCCTCTGGCTGTATAATGCTAATGTTACTAAATGTCATAAACCAAGCTAATGTCAGAACTCAAATGAAAATTTACAGATGCATTTGGGATACTGAATTCTTGAATCCTCATTATAAAATTCTATTCAATTAATACAGGAGACTCATCAATACAGATTATGAGAAACCTGTTTTTGAGGGGAGGGATATATTTTTACTCCTCTTTTGCTTTTGCAAAAGCAGCAAAAGGGTAACAGCCATTGTAGAACACCACAACATTCTGTCTTCACAGAGCTTCATATTTGAATGCCCTCTCTCTTCGCTTAAACCCACAAGTCAGCTACTGGCACTGCTAAAAACTTCTTTTGCTAACATGTAATCTACTGTATACTCAGTGTGTTATTGACAGTAATTCTCCTCAACTTTGAAGCCTCCCAGTCTTCCAAAGCGATATTTATGCAAGCCACAGAGGAAGGGGAACATTCCCGCTGAAAGTTCAAAGTTGATTGTCATGAACATCAACAGCTGTTTCTAGAATACAATCCAAGCCTGTTTAAAGGTTTATTTGCTATGTGTTATAAAACTGAACAAAGTTATCCCACAAAGTTTTCATTAATTCATTTTCTCTATATAAATCTACACACCAAATACTTCAGATACTGCATAGCTCACCACATTGTTTTGTGTAAGCTTTAAAGAACTGCTGAATCTACAAATGCAAAACATGACACAATTTTTACAACTATAAAGCACACAAGAGCAATGAAATCTGTCAGCACAAAAGCTTTTCTACAAGCCCTAGTAGTCTGCTTTCCTGAATTAAGAAATCATTAAACATTGTGCATTTGTGTTCTATTTTTTGTAACATAAATCTCAAACTTTTACAGAAAGCCGGATTACTACCCTTTAGTGATGGCCTGTTCTGATTTGCAAAGTTCAAAAGCCAGCCACTTTGAATAAGCCTACAAAATTATAGGAATTAAGGTAATTATACTTTATTTTGGCAAACTCTTTACTGAGCATAAAAAGAACTATACTAGTGCCTGAACAGTGGGTAAAGTCCTTTAGCATACACCAGTCCTTGAAAAACTTGATAAGAGTGCACTCAAGAAAGCAAATATTAAACAAAAGCTGAGAAAAAAACTTTTGGCAAACTGAGAACTTTACCACAAAGAAAAGGAGTCTGAAGTATCCAGTATCCAGTGCCACACTACTCAATCATCATCATTCTTATTTTCAAAAAAATTTTCAGCGACCCACATAAGCATGTCATGATCATCACTTAAACCTGAAGCATCAGACAGTTATTATTCACATACCTTGCACCATGCATGTATTTCAAAACAGACATTACATCATTTTGGTCTTGCCCTGTAATTACGGAATTTAAAAAAACTTAAATCTTCAAGACATTCACTTACAATTTTGGCATTCTTCCCACTTTTCCTCAGTTGCTGAACAGCAAATGCATGCTCGACATTATCCATTGAAACTCCATTAACCATTGCAACACGGTCATTTTCTCTAAATGAAAAACATTACAATACACAATATTAATACTTTATGCCAAAGGGAAAATACTGGGGAATGAGTGCCCCTGACAAACTCTCTGTATTATAAACCTACTATACCAACAGTTACAGATAGATACCTTACAGACAGTTAGGAGGTTAAGCCACCTCTAACAAACATGAATGCCCCTCAAATCAGAATCCAGGTATATTTTGGCACTTACTGCAGTAGTCCTTCTGCTGGGCCTCCTTTCAGCACATCAGAAATAACTATTGATGTCTCACCACTCTGAAAGTGAGGATTATCTCTTCCTCCAGATATTGCAATACCAAATCCAAATCCAGGAGCCTATAATGTAACAAGAGAAATATTTTTTATTTTCTAATAGTTACATGGTCACAATTTGCATCCCTGTGTCAAACACAGAAAGTCCTATGGGATGAATACAACTTTTTGGAAGAAACTAGGGTCGACGTACCATGCGATGCTATGCAATCCAAGAACAGGAGAGAGATTAAAAAAACCAAACTTTTAGAAGGCAAAGAGTTTCAGATTAACTACTTAATCTCTCCCAAAAGTAAAATATTTGCATTTTTATGGCCTAGGCCTCAGGTGGTCAGCAGTAAAACCTCAATCTTCAGTAATCACAACATATACCAGTGTTGAGATACCAATTCAAACCTGTATCACTTCTTGCAACACTTTCTCTGAGGTTTCACGTTATGGTATTTACCCAGCTTGACCTTGCTTAGCTCAGGAACTGACAGGATCACAGCACATAGTAGTATGACTGCAGGCTCAATTCTTACAAATAATACCAAGATCACTTGTACCATTAAATACATCAAAACCTTGTCAGCACTTGCAAATCATGTGCATCTTAACAAAAGTAATTTGCTTCAATCTTTTCCCTCTAGGGTGACCTGCCACTACAGCAAGGTCAATGCCTCTGAAAAGTTACTCCTGTTAGATATTTCAAGAAACAACAATGATGCTTACATTTCTGCCTGGAAGCAGTGAGGGTGGAAAATAAACTTTCTAAATGTAACTTATTTACAAACTATCTAGCTATTCTATCACTGCCTAGAAAACATTGTCAGAAGGATATTACCTTTTAAATGAGGTATTTTGCTCAATAATATATTTTGAAGTTTTCAACTATGCAAAATACAGACAGTCACTAGATGGAAAAGATCATGTTTCAGTCAATTCCTCCTCTCCATTTCACACAGCATGCACTCCATGATCCCTTCTTTTTCAGACTTTTTGACAAACAGGATCCAGATTTAGCAATGAGTTTCATAACCTTACAGTGACTGTAGAAGCAACATGGTAGTCTGCATCTGGTGGTATGACACATGACATTCATTCAGATTTTTGGACAGTAATTACTGCTCAAAACCCGATTCCTATTTCCCCCCAAAAGAGAGGTCAAACATGGTCCAGATTTAGCCTATAAGCAGTGAATAGGACCATAGAGTATTAAAACAAAGATCTGGAGATTCACTGTTCAGAAATCGATTTTAACAGTAAATACTGTTGCCAGGCATGAAGAAAATAAATTGGTCTAACAGGTATGCAGGAGTGGGAAGGTGTACACATTACTGCTTCTTTTACATTCATTTTAATTCATTAAAGGAAGACTGGACATCTTTTCAAAATACATTTCAGCGAGATCAACCAGAAATCATGGCTGGGATTCAAGAATTACTAAATGAAACCCTGTGCCATGCAGGAGGACAGTCTAAAGGATCCTAATGACTACTTATGACCAGAACTGAGGTTTTCTTTCAGTTTTATTTTTTATACAGTCAACAAAAGGAATATATAATAGCTTATGAAAATGTGTATCAAACCCCCCTTTCAAAACTTAAAATATTTCCCCTTCCCATGACACTGCTTCATCTTTCAGTTTTCCATGACTAACAAACAAAACTCAGTTTTCACTGTATTTGGGTGGGGAAGGAAAGGGAGAAGAGAGATAACAATGATAGACATTTATGCTGAACTTCATTTAAGTGTTCTCCATCTTTCCTTACATCATAAACAAAAAAAGATTTCTCATAACTCTCCACTTAAGAAACACAACCATTAGTCTAAGGCCAGCAGAGATGCAGAAACTCACTGTCAACCTTATTTTGTTATTTTCTATTTTTTCAGAGTAGATTTGCAAACCACATCACCACTATTAGGATGATTAGTTTCATACTTTAATGATGTTCTTTTCAAGAAGCCCTGAAACAATGCAGTCTCACATACAGCAGTCAAAAAAGGCCATGTCAGACAAAGGCTTTAATAACATAAATCAAAGTCTTAAGAGATACTCCAAATTACAAAGTTCAAATCAAACCCTAAATCTTCATGAAAATTTAAGAGCTCAAATAAGAGACTTTCCAGTAAACCTCAACCTAGTACTGTTCATTTCATCCTGCTGTCTACCATCATTTTAGGAGATAAGCAATAAATTAACTACCCTCAGAAAACTAAACTTAGCTCCTAGACATGTCTAGAAATAGCAAGATGTTGGTCACTACAGATTATACAAGATATAAACATGTATCCTAACTAAAATTGCACTAAAACTGCCATATCAAAGTCACTTGTCAGATGATGTAGTGACAACACAAGGAAAAAAAAAAAAAAGGACTGGACTGTTTTGTTTTGCTCTCCCACAATAAGGCAGCATGGGAAAAGCAGAAAGGTTCGTACATGCCTCATTTCTGTTCTTTGGGGGAAGGAGACACATCTAAGACACAGAGAACTGGAGTTCCAGCTATGAAGAAACCCACATAAGATATCAAGTGCATCATTTCTCCTTAAAGTCCCTTACAATTAAGAACACAAACCCAGAAAATCTCCAATAAAAGGTAAACTGTAGCTATTTGATAAGCTTTAACTGGAGACTGGCTCAATCTTCAAGAGGTAAGTAGCAGTCCAGGAAGTTGGAAGGGTAGTAAAGAAAGGGAAGAAAACTCTTGGTTAGAAGCTCAAGCTTCTTCTCCCCCAGAAAGTTTCTATTAAGTCATTTGGCAATAGTGCTGGAAATCATCAATTACTGTGACAGTCAGACTGCTTATATGCTCAGTTACAGATTCCAAAATACCTGAAGCAGATGGATAAAAATTTAAAAATCTGATGTTTGAACCACAAAGTGCCTGAACTGACAAATGTATACTGCAACTACTGGGATTAAGTATACTCTGTCTCTAATTTGTAATCACATCTCTAGAAAGTAAAGGTCATAGGAAGAGGCTCTTCAAAAGAAGTGAGCAAAGCTGCATTCTTCAACAAGAACTCCCTATTGTGAAGCACTCCCTTTCTCTTTTGTAAGGCTCATCTTCCAAAGTTAATACACCATACTATCCCTTCTCAAAAGGGCCATTACAGGACCAAGACATACTCAAAAAATAAAACATGTATCTTTTCGAGGTACGTAACAACACTTCTGAACGGCCATTCATGGGTTTTATAAATCAGTAACTGCACCCCATAAAAATGTAGAAACTTTTTTAAAAAAAAATGTTTAATGCCTCAGACACCATGTTCAAAAGGCTAATCAGTAGACTATGCAGATAGAATACCTTATACAGTTAACTGCTAATTGGGTTTGTTTTTTCTTCAGAAAAAGATTGCATACAAATGCTATCTACTTTCTTAAAGTTTGATGATTACTACCAAAACTGCTTTTTGTTTTTACATTTTTGGCTACCTTTATGGAGCCCAAGAGAGTTAAAGAAATTGTACTCTGCCATACACAGAAGCAATGGAATAGAGAACAGCACCAGCTTAAAACAAAGTAAAATTGTCAGTGCAGGAGTTACCAACAGGACAAAAATGAGTCTCAAAACAGGAATAAATGTAGTCAAGGATATTCTATGTACCTTTGCTAACACTCCCACCCCCCACCTACCAAACTACTTCCTCCCTAGTTTTAAGGCTGTTCATTTTAATAGAGGTTAGTTGTCCTCACTCACTAACTAGTTTCAATCAAATACCATCAATAAAAAACAATTAAAATGGAGAAAAAAAAACCCCAGAGTTACAAAGTTGCTTTGGGGCACTTGGAGGGACAACAGATCTGCTTGCCATTAAGCAGGTACTTGTGAAGAAACGAGAGTTGATCTGGACTGACACCAACTCCAGACTTCTCTCCCTCTCGCAGGGGGACTTACTAAGGTTTTAGATGTTTATTCTGGATCAGATTCTTTCAATGACTTGTCTTGCCTTATTTCTGAAGGCAAATACTGACAAAATGTACAAAAACAGTTTGGTGAATCCCAAGAGCTTCTCAAGCGTACCAATAAAACAGGAAGCCAGTAAACGTGAAGCCTGGCTTGCATCTACCCTGTAGAAATTCAGCACATGTCAAATGTCATTAATTCCATCATTCACAGCCAGCTTACTGCCCTCAGCTAAACCAAAATCAGAGGGACTTTTTAGTGTGCCTCACTAGATAAAGCAAGTTCAGTTCAAAATGTTTTTTGTGTGGCTGACAGTAGATGATCTCTGCTGCTCTGTGGCTCAAAGTGAAGCAAATAAACTCACACAGGAAATATTCCACAACCAGGACAGCATTTTGAGTCCATTCCAATTCTATTAACTTCCAGATATCTTTGAAGCTAACTGAGATCTGGATGCATTTCACTCCTTCCAACTAAACTGAAGTAACCTCAACTACTTGATAATCTAACACTATAAGAACGTCACCAATGAAAAGCAAAGTCAAAAACCCCATAAGCGAATATGCCGTTGCTCTACTAAATCCTCTTTCCAGTGCTAAGGATAAATTCTAAGCTTAACAAAACCCAAATTCTTATGTTAGTATTATCTGGCAGATGGAAAACATTGTTTGTTTTTAATTGCCTAACTGAATACTATCAAAGTTATTAATGGTACACACCAGTCTCCAACATCTATATAGGAGCTACTTACTCAGCTAACTGTTAAACCAGCACAGCTGGCAGAAGTTTGGCACGTCAAATATCATAATCAAATCTGTAATCAAATCACACTTTCAGTTCTACACAAAGACTTATGACTATGCTGCAAGTGCAAAGACATGACTTTTACTTCCTAAATATTGTTCAAGGTAACACCATACTGCAGCATTCCATGATTCCTTTGCACACTGACTGAACTCATCATTTTCAGGTTTCACTGAAGTTACTGCTCCAATTAACCAGAAAAATATCCCCTTCAAGAGAAACTAAACAATCACCAAGTCTACCAGCCAACCTTGTATTGCTATCACATTATTTTATTTGGTTTTGAAAATAAGACAGTACTGATTTAATCAGTATTGAATAAAATTTTTAAGTTTACACAGGTTCCAGGGATGAATAGAAAGCTTCAAGAAAAAAAACATAAAGGGCAATTACATATATAAATAATACCTCTTGCTCAAAAAGTTGACCTAACAATTGTTGGAAGCTTGAAGAGTAGCCTAGAGAAGTATCACTACACATTTTTAGTTTTACTTATACTTTTCTTTCAACAAGTGGTTGCAGTTAGAGACAGGTTACTTTGCTACAGTCTTCTGGCCAAATCAGTGTAACTGCTCTGTTTGTAAGAGGACAGGTACGAAAAGGGTTATTTTGATTCAACAACATTAAACTCATTAGAATCAAGAGATAATAGGTTTGTACAGAGAATTAACATTTTTATCTGACCAGCTGATCTATTCATACACATTTCTAGTCACAAAGGTCCATTCATCTCATCAATGCTACAATTCTAAAATGCCTTGATTCTATGCTGAAGATTTAAAGGCAAATGATATAATTTGCTCCCTGGAGAACACTCTTGTGTATCTCCCTTTTATTGGAATGAATATAGCTATTTTGACCATGATTCTGTGGTCACTTTAATACTAAGTGTCTGCCAAAAATAGCATCTCACCTCATTCTGATTTTCCCTAAGCAACTCATTCCTTATTGCCTTTCTTGTACAGCCTCACAATAGCTACATCAGAAATAAATTTAATTTAAGAGTAACTACAATAAGACAAGTCCGACTCAATGTAAAAGCTTTCTGTTCACTGATACCTAGTACACATTCCTTCATCTAATGTGCACATTCTGATCACCCAAAAATCACTATTTTCAGCCACTAACTAGAGAAACTGGCAACCAAATAAGGCGGTTTTGAACGCATTTATTTATACTTAACTACACTGGTTTATGCCCCTGCAAATAAAGTTTTAAAACATTTAGTATAGTCACAGTACAATAATTAATGAACATTTTTAAAGGACTTTCAGTTACATACAGAAGTAATCTAAAACTTTGTTTCTAACAGTTATTTGTAGGCAAGCTTATCTTTGAAACCCAATAAACAAACAGACCTACTATCAAATGGAGCTTTTACAAAACTTCTAAATTTAAACAACGGAATATGACAGTTTCCTTTTCTTTTACTTCCTGACATCTGGCTTTTTCCTATTGTTTTCAAATGCTACCAGTATCCTGCATTAGGCACACAGAACCAATTGTATGAACTTACCCTGTGAAGAGTCACTGTGTGTTGTTCCCATATAGCTGTTTCTTCCATTGTTGTGCTCTAAGGAGAAAAAACCCAAAGATTAGACTTCACTGTCAACAGCTGTACTAAATGATTGTATAATACCACAAAGAGAAACTTACACTCAAAAGTAATATTAATTTTCCTATCAAATAGCTACAGAGAAGTAGAGCTGCCTCATTTGTTACGCATTTCCTGTCTTTATATGTCACATCTGAGCTTCCCATGCTCCTATGGAAAGGGACAGAGGGAAGAACAGGCAAAACAGATTTCTACTTAATACTTCTGTAACCATTCTCCTTTTGCTTGTTCTGCCTGTATGCAAATTACTTCTAATTCATGAACACCCAGCTATAGATTACAGTACGTGTGCTACTTTATTATGCATACAGGTCACATTTAACAGACTCCACAGTTTAGTGTGGGCTAATTTCTTTAGTGAACAGTAACACTGCAGAAATAAACAAGGTCCTCTAAGGGGACTAGATTAAACAGTAACATTATGACAATATTTACATATCTGCATTTCTGCTTAAAAGAACAGATACTTGCACTACTTAATGTGCCATGACAAGCAAACATTTGGAAAGGGGAAGATGGCATGATGGAGGAAAAGCTAGCAGAGCCAAAGGCACAAAACCAGGCAGAAAGGCAGCAGGAAAAACACAGACAACAGCATGAAGTCTCCTTGCTATCCTGCTGCTACATTTTCTACCTTTCCCGAGTGCCCAAGGTTTTGCTCCATAGCCTCCCCTCTTACAAGCAAGCAATCTACCACCTAAAGAACAGAATCACAACACAAACACCTCTGCAATACAGGAATGTTTTCTTTGAAATTCTACTTTACTCTTACTTTGTTTCAGTTACAAACTGCCATTACAACTATAAGTACTCCTAACTTTTCATCCAGTCCTGTATTACAGTAGAACAGCAGCAGGAGTGTTTACTCTCACAATCAATACCTCTGAAAACTTTATCCAATTTCATAACATCAGAATTTGCAACTAGGTTTAAAAAGTGAGTTCTTCTCATGACCCCCAAAAGCTGTGGGATATTTTCCTCCACATTTTGTGCTCTAATTTCAACGTTCAGGATGTGCTAAATTACTGCCCATTTCTCTTTCAGGGTTCACTGCTCCTGAAAGTGTTGGTGCAACTTAATTGGGATATATTTCATTCAAACAGCTTTTTTCCCCCTCCTCCACTCAGTACCCTTTGCATTACAAATTGATTCAACTCTACCCCAGAATTAGATTATTTTTCTCCAACTTTTTAAAAGTAGACCAAATATATATTAAAAAGAGTAACAATTTACACACAGAAAGCCATCTTTGAAACAAAGCAGAATGTTTTGCTTGTTAAACGGTTAATGAATACTGATTTTCTTCCCTATTTCTGATGCTCTCATTCTGTCTTAGTCTTGGCAGGAGCTTCTCAGGCTAAATATCTCATCAACAAGCGAAGAATCACCTCTGCAAGTGAACTTGTAAAAGAAAAAAAAGCTTTAAATTGCTCCTGTTCAGAAAAGGGTGTAACAGGAATCCAACCAAGGACTGCAAAAAGTCACAATTCGCATTTTAATTCAAGTAAGGCTGCCTCATTTCTATCTGCAATTATCAAAGTAGTTAACCTGACTGGTTCATTTATCGCATTTGTCCTGGCAATGCCACGCAGGTACAACACTCCATAGGCAGTCCAAGGCACTTCTGCACAGCACAGTTTGAGCTATTTGGCTATGAGGTACCAGATTTCAACAGCTCCAAGTTCTTGTGCCTCACTGTTGGAACTCAGTGCACAGGGCACAGTGCAAACACACCAGCTGGTTCTGGATATGGCAAAGACTGATAAACTCAGTTTAACCAGTTATGCACTGCTCCCACTGGATCTGGGAGAACTGGTAATCCTAGAGTTGGAGCAGGGTAAGATAACAAACAGCTAAGCAATGACTAAGAAAAATGGAAATGACTACGTAACATGCTTCTGAGAACTGTGAGATGACTTACTACCTCACAAAAAAACCTCAAGACAAACCCCAAAAAAACCTCACCCACATAAACTCACCAGCCTTTCTAAAACTGGACAGAGCACTCGCTGCTCTGGGGCTGCCATTAATGGCTTTTTCCTTTCTGTAGAAGCTCAGTCTTTCTACTTTCCTTGCTTGTTCTTCTCTATTTTATTGCTCACACTATCTCCTCTACTGATCTATTGCTATCATCCCCCCTAGATTTTACTAATACAAGTCATTTCAAATTCACAAAACTTGGAAACATCAAATATCCATTAGTTAGATAGCAAACCAAGTAATATGTTATTTTCATTCTTTCTGCATGCCCAAACAGTCCAATCAAGAACAGTGAAAACAGTTCAAAGGCAGCCTGAGGCAATTTGTTGGCTTTGACACAAACTGCTTATGTGAGTTAGTTTCTCATCTGTAAAGAACTGCATTCACTTACAAAAGACTGCAAAGTTTGATGAAGACCTGTGAAGGTACTCACCCTACTAAACAGTGACAACTGAGGCAGAAGAACTAGCTTGTACTACCATCAGCTGAGATGCCTGTTGTGATGCTGCTCTTAAACCATACTCAAAGTGCTCTATTTTTCATGCAACATTTGAATTTTGAGAATCTTGTAATGACTTAATTCTCAAGTCTCTAGAACTGGCAAACAGTGCTTATAATTAAGGGGTGGGGGCAGAAAATGTAGGTCTGTAGTGATGGTGGTAGCCCTGCTGACTGCTGATACCAAGCTTAGTACCCCAAATAATGTTACCCACCATTGATTTGGGGGAAATCAAGGTGACTCAGCAGGAACTGAGAAATACATAAAACCTAACACCCCAGAAATATATGAGAATACAAAGAGGCTACAGTCTAGGGTTAAATTAACAGAAACTGTTCAGTATCTTTGAAATGCAAGCTAACAACTGACAGCATCTGAACTTTGCCAACTACATATACTATGTCTATACTGCCTATGGTTCTCTACATGTATTAAGAATAAAAAGACTAGAAAGAGAATTATGATATCATGACTTAAGTGTTGGAGAAAAGATTTTATGTTTATGCTTTATTAAAAGGAAGAATTTTATTAAGCTCATCTTAAACACCCTTGTACAGATAATTAGTAGCATTCTCAGCTTGGTATATGGCAAGTGGGTGTGTTTATGGGTTGGAGATTTTAAATTATTATTTAAAGGATAAATTCATACATGATGTTGTAGTTTATCAATATGGAAGCAATGCAATTTACCATTTGCTCATAATTTTGGAAGTATCAAATCTTACTCATTTTTTTCATGTTTGAAACTGCCCTGAGATATAAGTGTATCAAACTAAACATCTTTCCAGAAAGGTCATTTGTGTGGGCTACAAGGGTCCTTCAACAAATAGTTTTTTGTTCCCCTTGACACATTTCTTTCCTGCTTCTCAAAAGCTGGGGTTTTCATTTTTCTTATTTAAAAACACATCTTTTTCATACAACTCACCTTCACACCTGCATCTGGGCACATGCACACATACATAAGATTGAATTTCCCCAAAGGTTTAAAATTTTCAACTTATGCTTGAAAGAAAAATATTGATGCATCATGAAGGAAGAAAGCAGGCCTGCTAGCTCCCAATGTGAGCAAGGCTGTCATGTTTGCAAATAGCATTGCTCAGTTTACCTCTACTGCAGTTGGAAAAGCTGTTACCAGCAACAGCACTGGAGCCACTCACAGGCTTGAGAAGACAGGCCAAGTTCACATTTCCAAAGATTCAAACAGCAGCCATAGAAAGTACTATTTTATACCTAAAATAATGCAAGATTCCTGGGGTAAAGTTTCTTGCAGGATAACATTTCTTTAGACTTCTACACCTAGAGGAAGAGCTCAGACTAAGGCCAAAGCTCCTACATGTTCCTGAAATCAAAGCCAGAACAGTTTCCCAATGTTGCTTTGCAAGACTAGGGAAGACTTACATTTCTTGCTTCAGCTGAACTACTTTTCATAACAAGTTAAGCGTGTCAAGAACAAGTTAGATTTTAAGCAATTGTTTGGTCAATTATAATAATGTTTTGACACATGACATCAAAAGAGTTTTCAATCACCTTATTTCTTAGTAAAGTTCAACAGTAACTTCCTAGGAAAAAAAAAAGTGTTAAGTATCTACTGTTGTTAAATATTTCCACACATTTCTCACTAAGGACAATGAGATTACATTTTCAGAGAAAAATAATATTTAGGTATCTCACAACAGGCAGATATTCAGATTTTTCCTCTGGTCAACACAACAGTAACCTACTGTGGGAAGTAATAAAGTACTTTTACTCTCTTTACAAATCTGGTTTTGCAGATCAACATTGACAGCTGTCCCACAGACAATAAAATGAAGCAACTACTGTTGCTACCTCAGGGGGCATATTGTTCCTATTCTCCTCAAAACACAATAGGGAGAAAAGTTATCTGTGACAGATCTAAGTCCCTCCTCTAACCCTTCCAACCACAGCAAGCAGACTACCAAGAAATTGAATGACTGGATCACCAACTCAACCATACAGAGAACACTATCTTTGCTCCAAGCCTGCAGCCTCATTATGTACTTTTGTGTATGCTGCACTTCCAACAAAATGCTGATGTCTAGAAATATTCTTAATTACCCTGATTAAAATCATAAAGAACTTTGAGAAATAGTTTTCTTATTCAAGATATTAAAAAAAAAAAAAAAAAGAGGTAAGAGAAAGGACTGGTAAGGGGCTATATCAAAAGAAGGAAACAAGTTAATATTTGGAGGCATTCTCTTCAGAAGGACATGCTAGACAGTCATATGCCTTATCTATCTTGCTGTATTTCTATTTGGCTCCTAAAATTAATTCTCAATTATTCTTTGGTAAGTCCACTTCAGCAGTAGGATGCTATTGAACTTTTTAAAGGTTATTGAGTTTTAAAGGTTAAATGCAAAATCAATAAATTTTTATTGCACTTGTGGGAGTAAGAATTAAAAGTGCTTATCATAACAATTATCATTTGCAACTGTTAGAAGAATTTATACATGTTTGTTGG